TGAGCGAGAAATCGTCCGTCAAAGATTAAAGAGGGAAAAATTAAAGGCTTTCCATGAGAGAGAGGATGCTGATGTGGACGGGTTACTCATGGTTACTCACCATAAGGTTACTGACCTGATCCATTCCCCCAGATATGTATTCATCAGTTTGACTCTCAACCTCAGGGTCTGCCTCGCCTAGAAATCTTTGATAAAACCTAATTGCAATTTGAGACATCTCATCAACTTCCTGAATCTTCTCCCCTTGTTCATTTTCCAGGACCCTTATAGTGCTCCTCTTCTGCTTAGAACGGATAGATCTATGACAGAATGTTGAGTTCATATCCCCAGTTTTCAACCAGGTTTCCCTTGATTTCTGATGAAGGAAAGATTCCTCAGCGTGAGTCAAAACCCTTAACTCCTGCTCCAGCCTTGTCACATTACCAAAATTATCAGTGGAGGGGTCAGACAACGTCTGCTGCTGCACAAGATAGACTTCAGTTTCCTTTTCTTTGACACGCCCCCTCAAATCTGAGTACTCCTCCCTGTTAAGCTTCCTCAACAAATTCTTCAATTTCTTACAAACTCTAATCAAGGGATGACCAGTCACATTACTATTCCAAGCCTCTACCAACAGCTCATCAAACTTCGGATGTCGAATCCAGAATTTAAAAAATTTAAACGGTTTCTGGGCAGATTTCAGAGAAGCACTAGTATAACATATAAAGGACAGTGATCTGAAACTCCAGGGGCTTGAATATGAACCTTGCTATCCTTCATCTTGTCTAGCCAAGCAAAGTTAACTAGGACCCTATCCAGTCTTTTGGCAATAGGGTTAGCAGACTGTTTGTTTAACCAAGTAAAGCATGGCCTAGTTGCTTGATGCTCTTCTAGTTCAAGATCATTAATCCACTCATGGAACACCATCATACTAGGATCCACCATATTTGTGATAAATTAAAAAAAATACAATATTTGTGTCAATTACCCATTTCTTGAAAAAAAAATTGCTATGAACAATTCTAAATCTAATAAAATAAATATAAAAAATTATCATATTTTTTAAGATAAAAATTAACTATATTCACGTAATATAGTTTCAATGTTCACATCACATGTTTCGGATATTCATTCGAGACAATATTAATATTCATGTGGTGGAACATGTCAATTGTCAACCATATTAAGTGAATACAGTGTGGTGCGTCCAGTGTGGTTTGGGGTTGACCATCTAAACTTGAGAGCAAATGACAAAATTAGAGTTACATCCGATATACTAATAGACTCGATCAAACAGTAATGAGGAACAAAATTAGACACTCCTTATCTACAGGTTCCAGTAGTTTGAATAGTGAATCGACCTTAACTTTAGTAAAATAATCAATGATTCCTCGTTTTAACATAAACATAGGATGTGGTAGTTGCAACAACCATAACACCTAAAGATCCAATGGTTTCCACTCTCCGTTGTACAACCAACTTTTTATCCCTCAATCTTCAATCTCTCGATGTATATGTTTTAAACCAAAATTCAATTTGTAATTCTCCTTCTGCAACTCCATTTATGCTACTTTGATGGACCTTCTCTCCATGAACCTGAGTTTCTCTATCAATTGAGTTTCTTGTCGGCTTGATCTCCAACTCATCAATCCTCTTTCTTGACCTCATCTTCCTCGGGGCAGTTTTAATAAGCTCGTAAAGCCAACACTCATCTTCAATTCCATCAATATGCTCTTCTCCTCCTTCTCTGCCTTCACCTGATCCAGTTCACTTCCATGCCCTTCAATACTCTCTCCATTTTCATTAATATCATGATCATCTACCACTTCTCTCTCTTCAGCTACTCCGATTTTGCTTCTATGTCTTTCAATACCCTCCTTGGTTCAATCACTACCCTGAACAACTGCCTCTTCACTGCCTTCACTTGCTGCAAACTACTTCCACGACTTTTTATACACCTTCCTCAAAATCACAATCAACTAATCAATATCAATCCATGGCCTTGGATCAGTTTTAAACTCTCTATGAACATCTTAATACCAGAAAGTCTAAATCTAAATATTCTTTCATTTAATCATGAACTTGAGTTTATCAAAATCTAATTCACTCCTTCTAAGTTGGAATTCCCATCACCCAAGCTCATTTTTGGTTCATTTGATCCCACATAACCATGATATTATACCTCTAACTAAAATAAATCAAAGCATTTTACGAAAAGAAACCGAACCATGAACTTTACCTGCTACCAAGTCCAAACACAATTTCTTCCTCTCACCATTTTCCTTCCCAAACCCAATATCAACTTTTACTCCAAGTTCACACCCCCAACTCCCAGTGTGTTGCGTGAAAGCTTAATTTTAGCAATCATTATGCTTGCAATTAGATTAATGGACACCAGCAAACGCAAAAATTCCACCAGACGATGAATGGTCTTCACTTTGAGTTTTGTCATAAAACTGCTGGCCCGATATGTTTATCTGTTTGGAGGCCATATGATGAGCAATACCGAATCAGTTACAGCGAAGTTATCTGTCACAGTAATGACAATGTGAAACATGTATTAACAAACGCGAATATGGGTTACTTTTATGGATTGACATTAGAATGACGAGATTGTACAATGAGATCGTCCTTAGTTAAGAGACATGTAAATTGGTTCATTTGGTATGGAGGGCACAAACCGTTAAAATTCTAAATTATTTGGGTGAGTTTGTATTTAGTGTTTTCAAAATCGTGGTATATGAGTTGGGTGATTAAAATATCTAAACCCAAACGAACAGACCCACCTACACCCCTAGGAAGAGTTTCAAAACTTAGTATTTAACCGGACAAAAATGTTTAGAGAACCAGTCCCCCTATAGTTTGCACAAAGATATGATTGCTTCACTATAGTTCTGGAAATTAATGGTAATTTAAGAATTCTATATCGCTTCCACATATTCAATACTATAATTCGATATGAAATATGCGAACCAACAATATTTTGGTTGCAAATTTATGATTATCGTCTATTTATAAGATAGATAAATTTATGCTTCACCATAGATCACAAATGTCAAATTTTACGTTTTGAAATAAAATTTTGTATAGCACTTTTGTAAATAATCCTTGTATTCCTACAAACTACAAAGTCACGTAACCTAATAAATGTAAAAGTTGTAAGACATACATAAACTCAAAATGTACTGTTTGATTCTTGGTGAAGAATTGTGTGGTTAGAGGAACTCACTTAGTTGATTCATAAAGCTAGGTATATCGTGATGATTCACTTTTAAAGGTGGCAATTTCAATCCAATCCACCAATCCAATCCATCAATCCATTAAAAATATTCATCTAATCCAATCCATTTAAATCCAATCCATTTTGATCCAAATCCAATTGGATTTGTGGATTCATGGATCATTGGCAAATTACGGTTGAGTACCTATAATTTTTATTTTTACATTTTGGTACCTAAAATTTAATTTTTTATACTAAAAATATCAATGAAAAATTACGTTTTGGTACCTAAAATATTTCATTATGACATTTTAGTACCTAAACTTTTTACATTTTACATATTGGTCCTTGGTTGAGGATGTCATTTGGATTCATGGATAATCCACCAATCCACTTGATCCAATCCATGAATCCATTAGATCCAATCCATTTGATCCATGGATCCACCAATCCAATCCACCAATCCACCAATCCAATCCATTTGCCACCTCTATTCACTTTGTAAATAATTACAGTTACTAATTAATTCGATGATTGATTGTTGCGGTGGATAGTCCCATGATTTTGAGATATTTCAGTATTTTCTCTCTTTAATTCAAAAAATACATAAACATTGTTGTAGTCCAGTTGGTTAGAGCTATTAACTATCAATCTGAAGTACTTGAGTTCAAGTCTTTGTATTGACATTTTTTTTCCTCCTTGAGGAAGGAGCGAACGGCGGAGACGATCGCGTCATGGCCACGGTGGCGTAGATGGCGGAGGTAAGTTTTATTTTTATTTTTTAATAGTTGTAAAATGAGGTGAAAATTGTAAATAATTAAATTTTATTATTTTTTTAATGGCCACGTCACTCATTTAACGATCAACTATAATAGTTGACTGCCACATCAGCAAAAACTAGGGATGGCAACAAAACCCGAACCCACGGGTACCCACCCGATCCAACCCGGTCAACGCGGGTAAAACCCGTGTTGACGGGTTTTGGGCTGGGTTCGGGTTTAAACCCGCTACACTATTCACCTGGTTGGGTTGGGTTTGGGTTTAGGTAAACCCGCCCCATGGGTACCCGCTCACACATATAATTACTTTCCCGATATATTTAATATTCTAAATAATATATCTTCTTTAAACAACTAATATTATTTATGTTTGTGGAGACATGTATAATTTTTTCTTTCTAATTATTTAGAATGAAGTTGATATTATGGAGTGGAGAGTGAAGAAACTTATTTGACGAGGAAGAAGATTTCAATTAATCTTGTTGTTTATAGAAACATCTTTAATTTTGAGCAATTTGTATTGATCATTTTCGGTTTGCTTGTAAGTTCTAGATTGGTATTTTTTGTATGAGAAAATTGATGTTAACATTTTATTTTAAAAGAAATTTGTTATTGTAATTTTTTTACTACAAAAACCCACGGGTACCCATGAACCCGCGGATACCCAGCGGGTTGGGTTGGGTTTGAGTTTTTCAAACCCAACGGGTTTTACCCCGGATTTTTTTGGCGGATAAACCCATGGGTTTGGGTTTGACAAAACCCGTCCCAACCCGACTCATTGCCATCCCTAGCAAAAACTAACGGAGATTAACGGAGAGTGACCAAACTTGAAGTATTGAACTAATCTTAGTGATCATGAATGGAATTAAATATTTGCCGTGACCAAACATGAACGGTTTTAGTAAACCCAGTGACCATCCTTGCAATTAACCCATTATTTCGAATAGCGTGATAATGAAAAAGTAGCAAGTGTACCAACAACGTTTTTGAACTATACTGCAAATCAATAACATGCAATGAGTAAAAAAAAATGCAATGAGAACAAACATCATCAATTTACTGATACACAATCAAAATCTGAAAGCCGTTCATGGCTGCAAATACCATTAGAAATAACGTCATACATTACATCAAATGGGAAGACTTAAGAATGTGTAGTTTTTGCATGGCAGAAATACAGATATGACTTGTCTCACAACTTGCACTTGATCATGTATCTGCAAACTCACGGAAACACACTGTATACATGGATCCTGGGAAACAACCCAGCGAGATCTTCAAACTTCAATCATCATCGTCTAGAACGCTACGACGTCTCTGGATCTGACAAATTAAAACATGTCAGTTCATGTCATACCATATCCCAATGAGGGTTCTTTACATAGCACATGAGCAACACGCTAATGACTTACCGTGACTTTGGTTTGTTTCGTTGTTTGGGTGTTTATCTGTTCTAGCAGTGAAATCAGCCTCTCCTCCGACACCTGCAAACAGGGTTAGGTTAACAAATGCTGAAAACAATTACTAACTGCCTAGTAACCATTGTTGTGGACACAGCTATAGCATATACCTTCTCGACTATCTGACCCATTTGAGCCGCTCGAAGTATAACATCTTCAACACCTCTAGCTTTCTCAGGCTTGACTAGTGCAATTCTGGCAACTACACAAGAGGCGGCAGCAGCTTTAGGGTCACATATAGAATCAAGCACACTGACTGAATCCTGCTTTCTTAAGAAAAAAACACATAATGCTGAAACCAACAATAGCCCTTTACCACCAATGAATTGGTATGTATGAATTTAGCAGGTTAGAAAATTCACAAGTTGCAACCTGCATTACTTACTTCTTTCTCGAGCTTGAGCAGACAATATCTGACTCAACATCATCTGCCTACGCTCGTCAGCTTCCCTGAACCAGCAAATGAACAATTCAGATGACATTCAAAACCCAGGATTGTGTTATGTGTATACATTAAAACACGAGTAATCACTGGCGAAGTAGCAGTTAATGGACACTATCTAGAGAAAGACATAGAGAACCTCTTAGCATCTTCTTGAGCATTCTGCTGTTCAGGGTCCGGCTGACTAGCCTGTTTAGTAAGGGTACTTCCAATCAGCAATTCACCTCCAAATGAAACATTTATGAAAACACACAAGAAAATGAGCAGAGCGAGCAAATAATTACCGCTCCACCACCACCGCCATGCTGAGCCATTAGCTCAGCCATCCTTCTCTGCCTGATCGCTTCCAGCTCCGGATCAGCCTAACGAGTAAAGTAGAGCACAAACTAAGACGTCTAATTGATGACATAGCAACCAACTGAACTACAGCCGCCGCAGTCTCTCTCCCATACATTTGATTCCGGCGAGGGTGAGAAAGACAATCAAAGCAAAATCATTACGAACTGTACGCGGACGAAAGTTAAAGCAATTCCAAGACTGAACTTTACCAATCAATTCGAGAGCAAATAGTGAAACCCTAACAACATGAAAGTTCCCAGTTCGCTAAATGACAGACGGGAAATTGGAGCGACAAGCGAAAAGAGACGAAAGAAGTAATCGCACCATTGATTCCGACGACGGTGGGTGAAATCCGGAAGATCGCGAATGGGCGCGCGAAAGAATTATTCGGCACTTCCTAGAGCTAGAGAAGCTACCTTCAGTTTCAACGGTTTTTGGTTAGGTTCTCAGCGGTCGCTCGACGCCATTTCTCAATGATAGAGAGTGTAATTCATCAAGCCAGAGGGATCAAACTCGTAATATTAGAAAAAAGCCCAAAATTAGTGGGCCTCAAGTAAGTCCGCTTGTGCAATCGTCCGCAGAGCTGATCCCACGTCAAGCTTACTTTTTTCTGCGGTAAATTGTAAGTTTGATCACTTAATTACTATATTGTTTCATGTTCATCACTAAAAATATTTCATTCGATTAATAAAATTCTCCGCGAGGGTGAAAAAGGTGGCAAATACAGTGGAACAGAGGCGTAGTTCTACACTTCTACTGGTTTCTGATGTACATAAAACACAGGTCAAAACATATGAGCTACAATGAAACTCCGCATACAAATGCTGCAAATCTATCTCTGTAGCCATCTCTCAGGAAGCAGAAGGTTTCTTTCGGAGTAGGTTATGCATGTCGAGCTGATTGATCTTCGCAGCCAGTATGAAGTCGTTCTCTGTTAACCCCCCTGTGCAAGCATAAACCGCGCCAGTCAAATATGATTAACAGAAATGGAATGGAAGAAAGTCTAATGCAAGTTAAAACCGAATGTAAGGATAAGACCAAATAGCGCCTTGATGAGAACCGATGGTAGGTTCGCACTATTGAGCTGTTAGCTATATATTTTTGTTCAGAGGCTGAGAGGCTCTACAGTCTTGTCCTTGCAAATTTGCCGGATTCATGACAGCAAATGTTCCTGGTTTTGCCTCTCTAAGAATGGTAAGATTGCTATAGAAGGTTGATATGTATGGAACTGGAAATTCTCACCGATTGCATGTGTCCATATCTCGATCTTAACATCATTCCATCCAACAAGATGAAGATCTGGATGATGGCCTGGATTAATCACAATATATTATCAAATGCAATTCTTCAGGCTCTACAACCAAAATTTTCCAGTCAAAATAAGTTGAATACCTTCAGTTTCAGCAATATTCCCCACAAGCTGAAATAGCTCCAGTCCTTTGGTGAAACTCTTAGCTCTCCACGACCTATTCAGCTTCAGCTTACCATCTTCATTGACCAAGTTCCAGCCGGGCACCTATTCAGGGAAATCACCAAGCTAAGGAAAGTTAATACTTAATTTTCAATTTTGACATCAATAGCAGCAAGAGATAGTAACACTAGTAACATGAAAAAACAGAAACCTTGGGCATCATTTCAGCAGCACTTTCTTCAGTCATGGGTCGCATGTCCTTAGAGTTACATGGCACACACTTCTTGGTCACCAAATCTACCACGAAAACTAAGCCGCATCACATACTATCAAAGATCTGCAACTACCGAGCTTTTGCATCACAAGCCAATGCTACTATGAAACCACCTAAAAGAGAATGATACAAAAACGAAGAACTGATAATAGCAAAGAAGCTAGAAAGCACAGCTTCAGATGCCAACTGGCCTGGGAAACTCCTAAAGGCCGAGCAATTTGATAAAAGAATGTAGAGATTCGGCGTTTCTTGTGTCTAGGGTGATTCTTCCTTATAACTCGGAAGAAATCACGACATAAGCATTGTCAAAAATCATCACAACCAAAGTCCTAACTCGACTCAAAGGTAGGTAGGAAGGCGGTAGAGGGTTCATAACAACGCACCTCCAACAGCGCAAAATGCTCTAAAGCCGTAACTCAGCTTCCTAGTTGACGACACTCCCACAAGACCCCATGGAATCCCACTCACTTGAGTGCTCGAGCTGCACGCAGCAGACACCAAACAATCTCTCATTCACAAGACAAGAAATGCTTTCACAGTTTTCAGAACAGACAAGAGAATTAGAGCTCCAAAATTATATGCACGAAAACATTGCGCCCCGAGTAAGTAACCACGTTTTGCCAAACTCCAGGGAAGCAAACAGACCTTAATTCAATTCACCAAGAAATCTAGTTCCGATTCCACTAATTCATGCCAGATATACGAGGGGCAGACCAAAAGAGACATGCATTTCAAGATTCGCAGAGACTGAATGGGGGTAGGAAGTACCGTCCATGGCTTCCAATGAGTAGGTCAGCTACTGGCGCCTGGCGAAAACGAGATTGTTCAAATTATTCCTCGAAGGGGGAAAGGGAAGAAGGAGAGCAGTAGAAGGAATTCGATTAAATACCTGTAGCAGAGGAGAAGATGGCAGTTGCCGGAGGAAGACTGATCGCAGGGACGGAAGCAACAACCGACTCATCTCTGGTGGTGGAGGGGTGTGTGAGACTGTGAGTTGTGACTGTGCCGCTTTTGCAGCGAAAAGGTGGGTCGGGTTGGGCTTTTGTGGAAGTAACTGGGCCAATTGGGCCCATTCGCCAAAGGCCCAAACACGACAAAGCGAAGGTCCGTAATGATTCGACGGGAAGTAGACGGCGCGAGCTCCACAGGCTCAGGCGCGGATCATTTCCTTCCGTGCTCAACGGCTCGTCTATCCCAAAGCCAAAAACAACTCTGGGAAGTGGGAAGGAAGGAGACCAGCCATTATTCTTCAGAAGCCAGAATTCTCCGCAGGAAAACGAAAAATGGTACAGTCCCTCTCCATTCTCTCGAATTTTTAACCTTCCTGTCTCCATTCTCGAGTTCCGCCGTCGAGATCAGTTGCGCTTCGTCGGAATGCTTTTCCATTCAACTGATGTAGCAATGCGTCGGAGTCATTCGATCTCCCTTGCAACGATCGTCGATCGGTATCTGCCTATCTGGTGAATTTTTGATCGCTGATCTCCGCAATGCAGATCTGAATTCCTCCTCGATCGTACTACAGAAAAGCCTCCGTCGTCCGATGCCGACGGACTTGCTTTCTGATCGGATTTTTTTCGTTGCATGATGACGGCGATTAGGTTTTGAGTGGTGGCTATGGAGACCTCCGTTGCAGCTGGATCTCTGATTTTGATTTCTTGCTCTCCGTTGTTGAATTGACGTGGTTTACGCTTCTGTGTGGTGGCATTTTGTTGCAGCAAGCCTGTCCACAAGTGAAGAACATCCTGGTGTTGGATTCCGAAGGCAAACGCGTCGCCGTGAAGTACTACTCCGACGAGGATTGGCCGACGAATGGCGCCAAAGAAGCCTTCGAGAAGACAGTCTTCTCCAAAACTCACAAAACAAATAATGCCCGTGCTGAAGGTCGGTCTGCATCTCACATATGCTTCAGTCTGTTTCTTGTTCCGAACTTGTTGATGGATTTTAAATCGACGGCCGGGGCTCGATTTTGGTTGTTGTTCGTGTGTGCAGTTGAAGTTACGATGATCGGAAGCTACGTGATCGTGTACAAGTTCGTCGACGATCTCCATTTCTTCGTTACAGGAGATGAAGATCAGAACGAGGTGATCTTGGCCTCAGTTCTTCAGGGGTTCTTCGAAGCTGTCGGCATTCTGCTCAGGTCCTAAAATCCTTCCTTCCTTGCTTGATCCTTCCCAGAATCCAAGCTATGGCCAATTATGTCAGTCTATTGCTAGAAAGAGCAGAGATTGATTGTTTCTTTGGATCAAACTTTAGAGGCAATGTGGAGAAGAGGGAGGCGCTTGAGAATCTGGATCTCATCCTTCTGTGCTTGGATGAAACTATCGATGGCGGGTATGAGATGATTCATTGGAGTTTTTTTTCTTCCAAACCCTGCTCCAAAATGTTACCCATTGTAAGAATCGTGTTGCTTTTTTGTTCCTCGCTTCGATTGTGCAGTGTTCCTCTGGAAACAGATCCAGCTGTTCTTGCTAGCAAGGTAGCTAGTCATAGCATGGATTCGGGAGCTCCATTGTCCGAGCAGGTATCATCTTCGACCCCTGAATTTCGGTGTTTAGATTGGTAATTGTTTGGCTGTGCAAACTGTTTACTTCGTGTTTTTGGGGTTCTGCAGACATTGGCTCAAGCGCTGGCCACAGCTCGGGAACACATCACGAAATCCCTTCTTAAATGATGAAGATCCTCGACTTTGTATAACGCGCAGTTCCTGTCTCTCTTCTTATACATAATATGATGGATTGAACTTCGGTTTGTAATCTGAATGCTCTGGACTCCCCAGCTAGCATAGGAACATGTTTCTTGGAGCAACATTTGCCCCTTCGTGGCAGGAACGACGTACCCATAGGACCAGCTTAGCATATGTAATGCCAAAGTTTCCTGAAGGGGTGTAATCCTTTGAGTGGTTCGCATTATCGAGTAGTCTCATCGATTTATGGAAAACGAAAGGGACGTAGGGACGTAGCCATTGCCATACTGCACTCGACACTGTTGCCTAGAAGCTCATGACTACTTCAGAATCACAACATTAATGGCGAAGCGAATCTTCCTTCGAGAGCGAAAGTGCAGTACCATATTGGTGAAGAAGGGTATACCAAACAGACCCTTTCCACAACAAGGCCCGGAAGAGATTCATGAAGATTAACGATAGCATTCATTGCATGCTTGTCATGAAAGTAAAGATTTTGTTGCGTATTACTGGACACCCCATCAGCTTTCACAAATTCAGTTCGAGCAAACTCGAACCAAACCCGTGCAACACAGACAGGGAGCACCAGGGTGCACCCTCACAACACCAACAGTCTAAGGCTGAGCATCCTTCGAATATTTAGGAAGTATCAGTTACTACTCACTAGTCATCAACAAATTCTATTATGGAAGAATAACAATGGGAGCACCACCACGAAGCAAACCAAACATAAAGCAAAGGAAATCTTTCTTAACTTTGTTTAGTGAACCAAATTAGCACCAAACGCTCAATACTTCTACTATATTACATTCTCAACATAAAAAAACACACATCAAGAGACTGGAACTACAAGACAATGTTAGGGAGAAACCCATCAAGAAAAGCCTGTTCCAACCCACTGTTGTTGAAAAGTTCACATGTAGGAAGGAAAGGGTTTCCATCACGAGGAGCTTAAGACTTCACAACTACATTAAGGCAGAGCAAAGTTTCTTCACTATCAAAAGAACAAAACCACAAAAACTGCAGATAACGGAAAGCGGGTCCTCCACTAAACACTGAGATTAGCACTCTTCTTTCTTGTTCCTAAGGTTAAACCAGAGCAGAGATACCTATTATGCAGAGAGTACAGCCTCGTGGCACAGGGCAGTAGCAGCCACCGAAAAACAGGAGGAAAAAATCTTACATTCGATCTATTATTTTCGGATTGCCCTCTAGCCACTTTCAAACTCACTACAAAGACCCTGAAAAAACACGAGGTGATGGCAGGGAAGGCAACGTAGCATTACCCTTTAGTAGCTGTTTTGCCATAGCTGTTGTTGGGTCTGCTTCGGGCCCTGGCCTTGTGAGCTGACGCCAAGAGATCCATCCCTTATGCCCTGTTGCTGATGATCATGGGATAACCCTGTCTGGGAATGATAGTAATTCGGGTACCCCGCAAGAGCACCATAATGCTGTGACGGCTGTTGTTGCCCTTGCCTAAACCCCGAGGGTTGCTGTTGCTGCTGCTGCTGCTGCTGGTTCTGCCCCTGGAAGTTGTAATATGAGTTTGCAGGGGCTGTTGACATGGTGCGTGATCCATGACCGTGAATCCACATTGCTGAGTTTTCATTCTAACAGACAAAAATGAAACGCCAAAATCAGTTGAGCTTCAGCGGAATAAAGAAACATGAAAACGTCACAATCATGTCCAGTAAAACAGTAGAACTCATTTAGAGTGGTGGCAAATATGAACCCAAACCCACTACATACATCAATTAGACCCAAAGTTATTCGATTGTGGGTAAACTAAATTACTAAATGGCTTGGGTCGATTGGTTTCAGCATATCTATCATTTGAACCCAAACAATAAACCCACCAAGCCAGCCCCATTGGCCACCACTAACTAATGTATTATTATGCACCTAAGAGAACAAACAAGAAGTAGACCAATCCAGGAGCTCAGAGAACCAAGTACCTGCTGTTGCAGAGACATCAAATGGTTGCTGTCCTTGTACTGCGAGTTCAACACATCGTCATAGCCAATATTTGTGCCAGCAGGGGCAGCAGGGGTGTTGAGAGGGAAGTTTCCTGAATGAATGCTTGATGAATTCCCAAACCCATATCCAGACGGGACGGCAGCAGACTGGGAAGGCAAGCTGCTTACAGAACCGGTATTCTTGTACTGGGGAAGCATAGCTGCCAGAGACTGGTGGTAATTGCTATTGCCTGCAAAAGTCTGTTGGTAAGCCGACGGTGATGGCATATATGCATAGCTCTGAGGCAAGAAAGGATAGCCAATCATATTCGCATAATGGCCCAGAGGAAGCCCAGGTTGTGAATATGGATGGACGGCAAGTTGCTGAGGCAGAGCAGGTCCTGTGGCAACAGCACCACCACCAAGTGATTGTTGTTGATTTGGCTGAGGCGTGGAAATGCTGGAGGCTCTCAAAGCCTGAAACAGGCACATAGATAACAATCAGCAAATAAAACGTCCAAGCTGTTCCACCATACATAATTCAATCAAGATCTTACATTTTGTGATGCATATGTATACATTCACCACATTTAACTGTATGGTAGCAATCTGAAAATTTACATAACATCATTGGGTGCGTTTGTTCAAGCTTTTGTTAAAAGGAAGTGACTTCTCGGAAGTTCCATCAAAAGAATGGAAAATGTACTCGGTAAGGTTTCAACAAAATTTGAGTTGATCGGATATGAGCTATTCTTTAGCAATAAAAAGCAGCTGATAGACAGCTTATTTAGTAATAAAGGGCAAAATTGTATATGAAATTCTGGAGCGAGGTGGCCTTAAGATTTAAATAATTGTAAGTTCAAGGTGTCATAGTTCTAAAAGTTTTTATTTAAGTTGGTATTTTTAAGACACTCTTTCTCTAACTCCAAACACCCTGTCATATATCTTCTTGAAGACAGCTCTAGTCTAAAGAGTAGTCCAAAATACCATCCAGAAGTAATAGCTCATTTGAGATTCTTGTGGATGATTGTAACACTGGACCAAACATATCTACAATTACACTATACAATATACAGAAATCACAACAGTATACCTCAGGCATGGACATGCTTGGACCACTGATAGAAGAGGCTGTAGTGCCATACTTTGTAGGCATGGATTGAGTCGCTGGGAAAGGTGAGTATGGCAGATCAGGCTCCCTCCCTGTTGGCACATTTGAAGCCAACAATGCACTAGGCAATGAGTTCGAATAGGCCTGCTGTAATCATTGGAAATAAAATGAGAACAAGCAATCATTTCTACACATCCAAGAGTAGGCAAAAAATACTTCGTTATTGAAACCTTGACAGCATCAACAAGCCATGAAGAGAGAAATGATTCCTTTCAATGACAAAATCACATGCCAGGTAATAAGGTAGGATTAGTCTGCCTCCATCATCCACACATACTTCACAAAAGTCAAACTTCACGATCAGAAAAACCTCATTACCAGAAGTACATGCTTTTGTGAATCCTGCACCCCATCAACTGTACTCACCCTACCCCATTCCATAACCAGGTATTTAAGAATTAAGAGCATGACGCTTCCAAATATTTTCTAGAGAGACTTTTCAACTTATTTCTAAGAAATACAAGACCACAACCGTTTGACCAGTCATTACTCAATACGCTTTGAAACGTAATCCATGAAGAATCCAATTGCATCAATGTACTTGTTAAGAACAACAATCATAAGGTAAGCATGGGTCCATACCATGACACTTGAGAAGGCAGCAATGTTCTGCATCTGAGAGCTCGGCTGTTGACTGTTAAAGGAAGCGTCTAAATGCTGAGTGTTTTCATAATTATAGCCAGGAGTAGATGAGGCAAACGCATATTGATTTCCCTGAGCAGCTTCCTGTGTTTCCTCCTGTAAGACTTGCGGTTGAGGGACTGCAGGAGAATCATAGTTCCCAGCATTCACATTACTACTTCTATGAACTAAATCATCTTCAGTTGTACTTCTTAGGTGCTCATCCGCATAGTACTCGGGATCTCTGCAAGAGTATCAAATTAAGCTGGTTATGAAGTGACAACAAGCAAACAAGCATATATGATTGATCACTAAAATGAAGCACACCTAGCATCTGAGTGACCTGCTGTGGAGGCTTCCACCGTGTCAGACGTCTCTTCCAGATTATTTGCCAACGCGCTAGATCCAAATGGCACAGACAAACCCGAACCAATGCCAGAACCAAAGCTACCAAAACTCAAGTGCGAACAATCTTGAGCGTGAACTTGAAGATGATCCGGAATTATCACAACAGGGTTATCTTCTTCAGGTGGTCCGACCTTATCTTCATTCTGCAAGCTCAATTGCTGTAGATTTGCAGCGACAGATGATGAACCATCCTCCGCTGAAACAGAATAATAGGGAAGGTATAAAATATGACTGAGTGCCCCTAACACAGAATGTGGAGCATAAAATGGAATCACCCAGAAAAATGAATGGCAGTGTCATGGTAACCAGTGTGTCAAGGCAAAAGAATGGCACTGACAAGCCCCACAGAAGAAAATTAAGATTCGCACATTCGGAACAACAGCAACACGAATTTCAGAAATCAAAGATGTAAACATAACCACAGAACAAGACTCAAACTGCTGGCACAAATTAACCAAATCCCATCACTAATCAAAACATTAGCTAATGTGCATTAAGCAAGCAAACAGAGTATAGTGCCTGCCTTCATTATGCTCAAAAGTGTGTCTATGAGACTGGTACGAGCTAATATTCTCATACAGATCATTGTTGAATAGTGAGGAACCCCCAGTGCCATCTTCCTGTATATGTCTACTGGATACAGAAGGAGGCCCAACTTGACTTTCGTTAAGCGTTTCAACAAGATCATCCTCTTCTGACTGAGTTTCATCTGGCTCGGACCTCACGTGGTCATCTTCTCTAACTAAAGGTAAGCTTGATGAGTTCACATACACCTCAGGATCTGTAGGTGCCTCCATAAAAGATGACACATTAACACCAGATGGCTGCTCAATTGATGGCCAGTCATTGGAATAAACATGACTTGCAGAAGCTTCTGGTTCATTGTGCATCTCCGACACCTTGTGAACACTATTTTCAGATGAATGCATATCATTGTGTGCAGATGACCATCCATGCCGCTCATTAACAGTGTGGGTAGGTAGTCCAGATGCCTTACTCTGAGGCCTTCCCATTTTCACAATATCTGCCATTGATACCTGACCAGGAACCGCAACCCAGCCAGATTGAATTCCAGGAGTAGGCTGCACTAATGAGGAAAGCCCATCACCTGTGCTTACAGTTGGTGTTTTATTTTCAGCACTCGAAGAATCGCTGCAAGTAGAAGTAAAGATTAGGTCAGAATGACATGTACTCATACAATGAACACCATAACCACACTCAAAGGACATATAAAAGAGTGAAATGCGATTGAGACAAATACAGAGATATGAATGATGAAGAGTACTGTGGAGTATAAAATGAGGAAACGAAGCCCCCAGAAAGTAGATAGTACAAGGATGGCATTTGATAGATATGGTGATCAAGCACCAGAAGAATTTGTAAACATCACACCATTTATTTGCTTTCAATTATCACTACCAAAGAAGCCAAATTCTTGCCTACGTTGCAATACCAATTACACAAGAAAAGATGAAGGATAAATAAGAGAATGATCAATTGAATAGAAACCTGTAACATCATTTCTGCAACATGCCAGTTTTATTTTTTCTTTTTCATGATCTGTACATAAAACCTTGAACACTTGTTTGCTACTAGAGTTGAAAGCACTACATCATTAGCTATTAGCACTCTCACAGAGCTTTCTGTTTGCTCCTGTTGAGAAGATGACATTTCTACATCTGGATAACAGGACACTTATGTCATACTACTACTTTACACCAACAAAGACATAATATTTACTATTTTTCTTTTCATGATCTGTTACATAAAACCTTGAGCACTTGTCTGCTACCAGAGAAAGCACTGAATTATTAGCTATTAACACACTCACAGAGCTGTGTTTACTCCTATTGAGAAGATGACATGTTTCGCATTTGGATAACAGGACAGTTAGTCACACTACTACTTTACACCAACAAAGACATGAATGCTACAAAAACAGATGAAACTGTTGAATGAGAAATCATCATTATGCCACAAAACACATTGTAAAAACTGAGGCCAAGAGGATTTAAGAGCTGCCGTGCTATCATAAGCAAGAACTACAGATTTCAAATAATAGGATAAGTATAGTCCCATTGAAACACATGAAGTGGGATAGAACAGCATCTGATGCAGTCATGCAGAGGTGTCACAAAGAATCACCTGGGAAATTGAGCTCGCCACCCACTATTGTTCCCTGCAGTGGCAGAGGCATAAGAAGTAGAACCTGCATAAGCATGTGCTCCATTTTCCTTCCTGTAAGCAGATTTACCATGCAAAACACCAGATTCTGTAAACAGCAACATAAAGGTGAGCTGTGTTAGATAGGCTCCAATGTCTATAATTTAATTTAAACACAATATAACCTCTTCGAGAAACAAAGAGCATCATGTTCATACCAGTTGAGCCATATTGATTTGATCCAGCACGCCCATACCGGTCTGAACTACCCCTGCTACCGCGATGTGTTACATTATTAGCACCACGGGGCCGAATGTCTGTTGTATCCTTATTCTGAGTCAAATACAGAAGCTCTAATGAAAAAAGATTAAATAATAAAGAATTCACAACAGACGATCAGTAGGGAATACTTCTATTAAGTATTCACTAACACAGCTTCCAGGACTTCAAATGGATATACCTCTTTCTTCTTTTCTCGTTTGCTCTTAACTTCACGGAAAGGATCTACACAATGGGTAAGCATCACATCAGAATGAAATCAAACCAAGAAATTTCCCAAGTCCATCAGTCCAACAACATGAGAAAGTGAAAGTACAAACCAGTACCGTCATTGTAATTGAAATTACAATAATCAAAGATAAAAACAGCCCAGCTCATTATGGCGAAGCATCAAAGAGAGAACAAATCTCCAAACAGCAATAAGAGACTAAATTTCTATTGAAAGTGCTGGCACAAGGAGCTGATTGCTCGCCTTCTTCTTCTTCTCTGTTCGACAAAGATGGAAAAAAATTACAAGTAAAGGGGGAGGGGAGTCACATGGTCTTCAAACTGCAAAGCACATGATGCTTGCACTGATCCCCCTGGTGTTTCCATGCTAGACTATTGGTAAGAGTCATTACACAGTTCTGCTATCACATACCTCAGCTATGCCACCCAAAACTCAGAAACTTCAACCTACTGATTTCCACAGTAAGAATGACCACTGAGACATTAAAATCCTAAAATGAATAAACAAGAACTAACGGGGAGAAGCATGATGACGAGAATATTCATCAGACTTCCCAACCCACAGAATGCAACTAAAGCAGAAACTTTTTTTTCAAATCATGACAGCAATAGCAGGCACCGAACTGACGAACATGCATCAGATCAATGCAACAGCTTAAGTTCACTCAAGGAGCCTCTAAATTTCCCCCCACTCAAAAACCAGCAAAAGGGGAAACATTCAGACTAAGAAAATCTGGAAGAAGAAGAAGAAGAAAAAACATATAACGGCAGCCGACTCCAAGTCGGCTTAAACTATAACTGGCAACGTTGAACACGAAGAGCTTTCAATCGCCATAGCTGTACCTTTCGAACTCATCATGAGGAAGGCAAAACAAGTAAATAACAGGGCAAGAAAAGAAAGAAAAACCTTGAGTGAGGAGGCGATTAACGGCCTCGTTAGGGTCCATGTTACACTCCTTGAGCATCGCGTAGATCTCCGCCTCGGGACAGCTGACAATCTCTTTCAAGCTCTGAACTATCTTCCTGGAGCCCGCCGGTATGGCGGAAGTTCCATTGCTACCCTTTCCGCCATGGTTCCTATCGCTGTTGCTGTGCCCTACTCCGACTCCGCCGCCGCCTCCTTTACCACTCATCTTCCTTCCTCCCCCTCCCCTCTGCGACACCGCCCCCCAATCAGATCTGAGTACAGACGACGCCGATGGCCGGACTTCTGTTTATCCTCTTCTTTCTCAACTTTTTTTTTTCCGGTGACTTTCGCTTCCTCTTATTCTTCTGTCTGGCTGAGCGCGCTGCTGATGGAAAAGAGGGCGAGGAAAGAAAGAAGAAGAGAATATATCTAGGCTGCTTGGCACTCTCTTCCAGTCTTCTGCTTTGGAACACCGAAAACCCTTTCTCCCTCTCCGCTTTCTTCCCTCTTTGTTTTATATTTTTGCGTCTTATTTTTAGAGTTAATATTTTCGTATGGCATGAACTTTGACCAAATAAACATCTTGGTTAATTTTTTTGATCTATAATATCCTGTCCCGAAATATATACAAAAATAAACAATTTTGTCACATTCGACTTTTGACCGTTAACTTGGACGGTCAAACGCGTTGACCGTTAGTCAACGCGCCATGTCACTGTCAAGTCAGCATAAAATATTTAAAATAATTCACAATTTCCACACATTCTCTAATTTTAAGTTATTATAAATTAAAAAAAATCATCTAATATCTTAGTTAAACCAAAAATAAAAAATGAAAAAAATAAATATTTATCAGATCTTCTGACTTGGCAGTGACGTGACACGTTGATCGTTAGTCAACGCGTTTGACCGTCCAAGTTAATGGTCAAACATTGGGTTTGGCCAAATTGTTTATTTTGGTGTATAGTTCGGGCCAGGATGTTATAGATCGAAAAGATTGGCCAGGATGTTTATTTTGGTCAAAGTTCAGGCCATACGAAAATATTAACCCTATTTTTAGTGTTATCAAATCAAAACCTAATAAATCCGGACTAACCTGGTCTTTAGGTTTTTACTTTTAGCCATTGGGAATACCGTATCGTATTGGTGGTTCGATCAGAATAATATTTTATTGAAGACTTAATTGGTAGATGGTATTTACTGTTGAGTTTACAATACTTGGTTTTAACTTTACAATACTTTATCAGAACAATTTTAATATAAAATACAATATCGCTAAAAAAAAATTTTAAATGGATGCACAGCATCTCAACTTTCAATTAACACCAAACAGGGTTCGGAGAGCCCCTTAGAGTCATACAAAAGAAATGGATACAAGAAAGAAACTCGCAAAGAGATATCATGCACACCCAGTGGCATAGAATGTCCATGGCTAGCTAGGCAGTCTGCACATTTGTTGGCCTCGCGATAAATATTGGAGATATTGACCTCCCAACCTCGACTCCTAAGCTCTTGAAACCGATCCACAATGGCAGTGTGATGGTGAGTGTCGCCATTATGTTGCTCGAGTAACTGGGTGGCACATCGCGAATCCAGCTCGATGCGGATCCAACGGTAACCGAGGTTCCATGCCAACTGAAGCCCTTCTACAACACCTCTCAACTCGGAGCAGTATCCCATGTTACAAGCAAACGCCGCAAAACAACGTCCAGTGTGATCTCTAATCAGGCTACCTGCAGCAACATGACCAATAGTGTGAAGAACTAAACCGTCTGAGTTGAGAGTGACCCACTCGGGAGGTGGCGGTTTTCACGAGATCTCAGCCTCTGTTCTTGTGGTTAGGAGCGTATGGACAAGCTCATCTTTATCCAAAGTCATCCTCACGACATTAATCCAGGCTCGGATACGCTATAGAAAGGCCTCAGTAGTGACATTTTTGTTGTAGAATACTCGATCGTTCCTTGTCTTCCATAACGACCAACAAGTGAGTCCGAAGCTAAGATCGTAATCCGGATGGTGTAGATACTTGGGTATCCATTCTTGTAGTGATGCTCCAAAAAAAATTCGGTGGTCAGAAGTCTTGATAACCTGCATCCATACATACCGGGGGAAAGGACAGTCCCGCAACACATGCAGGATTGTTTCAGGGGCATCTTTACAAAGCGTGCAACTGCGATTGGTGGAGATGTGTCGGCGGTGCCTTTCCTCGTTAGTGAGTAGTCGATCCCTTGCTGCCAACCAGAGGAAGTGTGTGGTCTGAACTGGTCCCCTCCATATCCAAATTTTCCTCCAGTCCAACATTTGACTCGCCGAGTCACGACCACAAGCAATGGCATAGACTGACTTGACTCGAAATTGTCCATTTGGTTCAGGCCCCCAATAGGAATCGTCCCCTCCTGCCTCGTCTCTCGGCAGCTGGCTTCCCAAAACCTGCACAACAACCTCCGCCTGTAAATCATCTTGGATCAGAGCAGCGTTCCACTTACCTTCCTCGTCAAGGAAAGCCGCCACAGGCAATGAAGGGTCGATCGCTGGAGCTTCTTCACGGACGTGATCGATTAGGCGGAATGTCGGGTCGAACCATCGATCCGTCCAGAAGGCTGTGCTCCTCCTATCCTTCACACACATGGCCATTCCTTCCGTCATTATTGGCCAAGCTTTTTTGATCCCTCGTCATAGGTTCGAGCATCAGGTTTCCAATTTCGCAGTCAGCGCGCCATTCATTGTCTTGAAGTATTTAGCCTGTAACACCTTAACCCAAAGCTCATCCAGATTTTTTATAAATAGCCAAGCTAACTTTGCAAGAAAGGAGAGAATTAGTTCATGAGATTTTCTAAGACTCAAACCTCCCTCTGCCTTAGGTTGGCAAACCTGTTCCCAATGAACCAGATGGACCTTGCGTTTGTCGGTGGTGGAGCCCCATATGAATCGACTAATTCTCATGTCAATCTGATCAAAAATTGACCGTGGTAGAAGTGTGGTATGCATGGCATACGTTGGAAAAGTGTTCAGAACTGACGTCGTTAAAGTCACCCGCAAAGGATAAAGAATCCGCTCGCCACCCTGCTAGCTTTTAATCCAGCTTGTCCAGGATACACTTGTAGGTATCTCTGGTGACTCTTTCATGCAGAACGGGGACTCCAAGATAACGTCCCAGGTCTTGAGTCGCATAAATTTCTAGGGTTCGAGTGATCTCCCCACTCGTGGTTCGATCTGTATTGCCCGAGAAGTAGACCACCAATTTGTCTTTGTTCACCATTTCTCCCGATGCCATGCAGAATCTACCCAAGCAATCCAGGATGACCCGTCCTTGTTGTGTCGTCACCTCTGCAAATAGAATAAGATCGTCAGTGAAGAAGAGATGCGAAAGGGGAGGGCCACATTGTGATGTTTTAATCGGTTTCCATCTCCGACCAGTCACTACTTCCTTGATTACATGACCGAGCCTTTCCATACATAGCGTGAAGAGATAAGGGGAGAGAGGGCTTCCCTATCGTAAACCTCGAGATGGGGTGAAATACTTAGTTTGCACCCCATTCCATAACACCTGCATTGAAGCCGTCGTTACACAATGCATAATCACAATAATTAAAGCACTAGGAAAACCTGCCGCCTCAAGGATTTCTCGGAGAAAAGCCCAGCTTATCTGGTCATAAGCTTTTGCTAGGTCCACTTTAATCACCATTTCACCCCGTTTTCCTTTCTTGAGCCCCATCGAATGAACAACTTCCTGGAGAATAATGATGTTGTCTGATATGTGACGGCCAGGGATGAAGCTAGTTTGAGTTTTGTGTACTAGCTGCTTCATCAATGGCTTCGGCCGATTTGCCAAGCACTTCGCAATGGTCTTATGGACCACATTACAAAGCCCAATCGGTCTGAACTGTGTAATTGATTCATGACTCTCTTTCTTTGGGATAAGCACTAAAAGGGTGTCATTCATTGCTGCAATCCGAGTTGGATCCAAAAAAACATGATTTGACATGACTCACAAACAAGTCCGCAAGCTTGTCCCAACATTTCTTGAAGAAAATCGCCGGATACCCATCTCGCCCGGGTTCTTTGAGGCCCCCCATCTCCTTTAAAGCATTCCAAATCTCGTCCCTGGCCAGTCCCTTACTCAAATGGTGATGCAGTGTGTTGCTGATCTTTTCGAATTATGCTCGGAGATAAGGCGGTGCGCCCCCTTCCTGCGTAAACAGCATGCAATAATAAGCACGTGCATACTGTTGTAGCAGTTGCTCATCATCGATCCATTGTCCCGCCTCATCCCGTAGCGCTTTAATCTTATTAAACCACCGACGCTTCAAGGTAGACAGGTGGAAATATCGAGTATTCCTATATGCTGCTACCACCCACGTGCTCCTTGATTTCTGAAGCCATAAGTGATGTTCTTGCCATAGGATCACTTCCAGCTCTGCTTGAAGGTCATGTTCTTCCTTTTATTCAGCTTCAGATGCCCTAGTTTCGTTCATTTCCTCTATACCACTAAGTTTTTTGGCACAACCTCCGATACAATTTTATACTACTTGATTTTAACTTTTAAGATTTATCGTTTAGTTGTTGGGTAATATCAAATCTATTCTTGTATGCTTAGCAACTAAATATAAAGTAGTTTTAAAAATGGTTTACTAACCATTTAAAATAAAATATTATGAGTTATTGTTTATTAATAACGCTGAAAATTTATAGAAATTTGAGATTTATTTCCTCTATTATTAAAATTTAACATTAATTACATTTAATTTAGTTAGTTAGGACAATGACCGGGAAAATCGACCATAACTTTTGAAAATTTGTTACCAAATTGGATCGTGGAATTCAGTTCGTATCGTAGACCGTTGAGAATGGTTTAGTTTGGCACATGGTTTGCATTGTGGGATGTTTTGCTCTTCATATGGTCTGGTCTGTTTTATATCCCGATTTATCATACCAGATCGTGAACCTGACACACTTCCTAATTTGTGTTAGCAGGCTAATCGATCACTCTCCTCACTCCCTAACGAGGCCCAAGTCTCAACTACCATTTTTTTAATAATGTCTTCTCCTTTGTCCACAAATCACCCTCTTGCAGAGAATAGAGGCGATAACATCTCCATATGACATGATGTTAATGTTAATGACATTATGATGGAAGTCTTTGTGATTTACTTGGATTTAGGGTATCAAAATTATGCATGTACAATGGAATTTATATTTTTAGGAAAAATACTATATTTTTTCTCGATATTTATTTGATTTTTGGCGCGGTGGACCAAACAAATTATTTATCTTTTGCTCACCGTGGTCTGCATGATCTAGATCGTACCAACCAAACCACATAGGCGTAATCTGGTTTGGAGCGTATAATATTTTGTCTGATCTCTCGTATGTGCTCCATTCCCTTAGTCTGGGCTAGATCATATATATTGTTTGGTCTGAACCAAACGATATAGGCGTGATCTAGTCTGGAGCGTACAATATTTTGTCTGATCTCTCATCAATCACGATAATATTTTTTTCTCTATCTTGAGCTAAACACCTTTTGTTGTCCAGAAAATAAATAATACACTGGCAACTCCCATCATATGAAACGGATTCAGTGTCCAATGTATTTTTGTACTGTGTTTATGACTATATAATATATCTATGATAAAGTAATGCTTGTGATTTATTGTTCTTGTTTGCTCACATTTAGGCTCACCTTCACTATAGAGTGCATTCTAAGTGTGATTGTATCCGAAATCCATGCTCAAGTTAGCTATAAAGAGGGTGAGCATCTATGAGCAAAGATTATAATGAAGTCCATTAAGTAGCTCACTATCATTTGGTCCCCTATTTTATGAGCTCCTCGTAACCATGTTTTTGGTGGCTTTCTACCCCATTAGATGAGAATAATTGGCTCATTATAATGCAAGCCCATCGTTCATCTATAAATGATTATGAGTCGTTCACGAGGTGCGCTTGTTAGGCTGACTTATAGCATGTATTAGGTCACGATATTGCTACCGTTTATTGCGATTTAGAACAAACCACACATTAAAGAGATAAGTCGCTAACCAGATCAGATCGTAAGTTTGGTATCACGGTTTGGACCAAACCGTGCGATCAACTTTAAATCACAACTTTACATACAATTTGGTTTGAATTCCCCGGCCTACACCCATTACTCATAATATCATAGTTTAACTTTTAATCCACATTGAATGTCCATTTACTTCGATTTTTCCTTTATTAGTTGGGTTGACTTGGGTCGAGTATTCATTTTTCATCCCAACTCCAGATATAGACAAGTACATTATTAAAGAGTCATTTGAAAATGGTGGCATATGTTAAGTCTATTTTAGCCCTCATACTATAAGAGAACGCCTACATGCATTGTGTGTCATTAAAATAAAAGAATAACGAATTCTTAAAAAATACGGGTGTGTAATAGTTCGGTCCAAATCGGAACAACCCTTGATAGCTGCACTCCAATATCAAAAGAAAATTTGAGGATCCAAATTGGACAATCGGTGATTTAGATCCATTTTGATGCGTCCAAATATAAACTCATTCTATTTTTCTCTAATATTTCGAAAATTTATAGAACTAAAAACTCGAACCAAACTATCATCGATTCGGTTCGGACCTATCCACTATCGATTTGATCGGTGCGAATCCGAAATGAACCAAACTGTTTCACGCGGTACAAATATGACAAACAACCCCAATCTCTAAAAATCATCGGTAAAGAAAAGGGATTAGTGGTGGCAACGCGCTAGAAAAGGCGAGTCAAAGTGGAAGGTGCATCAGAATCAATGATTGGTGTTTATCCAATGCAGAGGGCGTCGTCATTAACTAATAATTTAACGTCACTAAAAGTCACTAACCAGTCCAAAACTCCCACGCCACGAAGAATCTCCACGTATCTACTGACTACTGTGCTGATGTGGCTCACCCACTCTATCCCTACGGACGCCACCTTTTAATAATGTGTTTGAAATTGAAAGAAAAAAAAAAGAATACGAATGCAATCTAGTTATTATTTTTTTTATTTTAGAAAAAATTATAGTAAATATATTTGTATGCAATTTGAAACGCAACGACATAGTTAAGTCGGGTCCAATCACAAATTAGATCGGATAATACCCGACGAAGCGGAACCAAATTGTCATGACTAATTACATCCCAACAATAAACCACTTAAAAAGGGTCATGCCTATGGGAAATCTTACCCACCCGAGCAAAATTTATCCACTTGTGTGATAATAATATATTCGGTGGGCCACGGTCCAAGACGAACTCGAGGTAGGCCCATGGAGTCAAAACTCCAGGACAAGGCCCAGTAGGGCTTACAGATGCAGTGTTCTGAGAGCACGCGTCACCGTTTCAGCGGATAAACTGAAGTGGCTGCAAACGCAAGGGGGCAACGTGGATCGTCGACACATGAAATAGAAGCTGTGTAATGTTTTCGCCTGGTTCCACGTGGAATACAATCCATGGACATTTCCACAGATTAGTTACGATGATCTAGGAAGGAATGCTGGCTCATTTTGTTACTGTAAATTAGTTATATTCTAGACTTCTAGTTCAGAACTTCATGATTTTTTTTTGTTACAAAAAGATTGATCATACATTACTGCATCAACGTCGATCTGCACTGGCTCCCTAAGAGGCTTTGGCTGTGGAGCTAAGTGAACTCTCCTGAGCAGCCCTTGCTCATTTCTCCCCGAGCCTTCTGTAAGCATACTAGCCTCCTGTACAAGAGATGAGTGTACAAATTGAAAGATCGAAAATTAGATCTAGAACATTATTTAAGTTATCTGGAAGTGAAATTATTGTCAGCGAACGAGTGATCCAATAAGCTCCGGTATTATATTCTCTAGATACCGCTTTGACCTTAATTTACAAGTTCACTCTAAAGATTGAGAGATGAAAGATCCTATCACGACAGCACCCCGCCAAGGCCAAGTCGTTGAGCCTTGAGATAGTGCTTTAACCAATCCTTGACACTTTGATTGGACCATACCGTCTGATCTATATTCCTGTGTTAATTTGAGACATTCAAAAAGCGCTTTCGTTTCAACTTAAGTCGGAGTAGAGCAAAGTACAGTATCAGCTCACCCATCACATGTACACCACAACACTAATGAAATTAGGGGTGGAAGTTTTGTTTGCGGATTGCGAGTAATCCGCAAACCGCACCAAACCGCATATATTGTGGGTAACCATACCCACAATTTGTGGATAGTGGATTGGGTGTGGGTAGCAAAATATTGATTTTTGTGGTTAGTGGTTAACCACTATCCACAGTGGTTAACCTACAATAACCACACTAAGTATATTTATTTATCAATAATACTTTGTAATATTAAAGTATGTGAAAAGTAGAATGCTACAAATTAAAGTAGGCTCCAAAATCAAATATATACTTATTTATAAAACAAAAACAAGTCAATACACCGTGTTCGTATGAGATACTTTTGTTAAATAAGCATTGTCCGCGTGGTATATGTTTATTTTATAACAAAACAAAGCCAATAAATGTGGTTTATAGTTTATTTAGCACTTTATTAACTCTCTTTTATGTAGGTTTTTGTTTTTTGTGTAAGAAGACGCTAATTCCACAACTCGGGAGAGAATTTCATTTATACCTAAAAATTCGAATAAAAAAGCAAATGAGTCATGCCACTGATAAAGATGCTATGTATACTTAGATTAGATCCCCTCCAACCCATGCTCGTTATCAATATGCATTTCCTAAAGAAAGTGAAGTGACATGTAAGCGAGTGAGGTGAACCGAAAAGAGGGGGGTTGACTACTTATTACTTAATTTTAACTCAATGTGATTTTTTTTTGTCATCACTCAACCGATAGATTTATCATATACGAATCCAAAGGGTGAAGAAAGGAAAATTTTATTGGGTAGTGCATCCAACCCGCACCAACCCGCAGCGGATAGTGGTTAACCACTACCCACTGTGAGGCGAGTTGTGGATAGCATAATTCTATATTTGTGGGTGTGGTTACCCGCAAAATGTGGGCGGGTATAACCACACCCACCCCAATTTCCACCCCTAAATGAAATTGTCGGCTGGGAGTCGGCTATAAACGATGGGAGGAGCATAAGAACGAAAATGAGGGAAGAAGCTTTTCTTGTGAGTAGAAGAAAAACAGCATTTGAAAAGCAAGAAATGCCAACCAATAAGACAGTTGCGCAGGAGCCAACAACTTGACTCCTGCCATGAAGTATTAGATCCCCCTAGCTTTTCTGATCTGTTACAACTCATGAAAACTGTGCAACCTTTTGGTTTCTGGTTAGAACATCAGATCATATGTAAGAACTATGCATCCAAAACGCCATCGTTTTCGACATATAAACAGCAGTGGCGTACCTAGTCAGGGGTAAGCGTAACGTAACATGTTACAGACTGTACATTATCAGTCTCTGGTCTGCAAGTATCTTATACTTAGCTCCCAGTCCATAGCCAACTCTTATTATGATCTGTTGCCCAAAAGCGACACCGACAAAATGGCGTAGCTGCCTGGGAACAGAGAGAGGGACTCACTTGTTGTAAGTACTGAGACTGAAAGCTGGACCGAGAATCGGAGAATATAACGCGAAGCCAGACTTGTTATTGCTTGGACTTCTTGGGTTTCTTCCTCCTCTTCGCTGAAGGCATGGATCCCGCCTTCTTTCGTTTCTTTGATTGATATTCTTCCTTTTCCGAGTCTTCTTCATCTACTAGTGTTTCTTCCCGAGGGAGCAGAATTTTCAGTGCCCACTCCATAGCATATAGACACATTTTCTTCACCTGTACCAATCCGAAACCGAAGACATTTTTGCTAACGATGAGATAAGGGTCGATTGCATGAGAAGCTTGGAATGTATCGTAATAGTTAGCTTGTTATTCGCAGCATTTCAAGAAAAGCAATAAAGAGAGTGGAAAGGGAGATGACAACAGCACCTGCAACTTGTCTTCCTTCGAATGGTGGTTCAGTGGAAGAAGACGGAACTCCTCTGTCAGACGAATGCACTCTCCAACGTTTTCAGGGGAGACAAAATGGGATGCTACCTGGATGCACGACTGAAACACGAGCGTATCAATCGGGTTGGTACAAGAGTTGTTTTAGACATTTCACAATGCGCAGAGCTTATTCAATGAAATATATCCATTTCAAAATGGTAGCATGATGTGCTGTTCATGTTTTTGAGTGACAACACAAACTCTCTACCCGTGCCAACAATCACAAAAATCCCAAACATAAACTCATTACTGAAACAGCTTTTGCCGTTTACCTTCAAATTTCTCACTTGATAAGGACAGCCAGCAGGGATAAAGACGGCATCACCAAGTTTCTGGATGAAAGTCCATGGTTCAACACCTGTTAGATAATGCAGAAGCACATAAGCAAAAAAGCTAAGTGTATGAAGTACAATAGGAAAAAAAAAAAAAGGGTTCGATAGCAAAAAGAAGGAAAACCAACCATATTCTTTCTTCAGCTTCCTTTTATGTTCCTCGGTCAAATAAAAGGTTTCATCATGTATGGGATGGATGACCTGCACCACCAAAACCCAAATTACAGATTTGTTTTTACCAAAGGCCACTAAATCAATCAAGAAACAACACCCTGAAGTAAGCTTCACAATCGAATGCAAAAATCAAACCTCAGGCCATGGGGAGCAATGAATGTGCCTAAATTCCTTGAAGTGCTTGAGAAGATATTCCTGCAGTTTGGGAACATCTTCTCTTCGAAAGATATCCCATAGAGCACCTCCCCCTACTAAACTATTTGGCAACTCGCCACACTTGGTTCTTTCTAATTTGGTCTTGGAACTGCTTGAAGCTTCAACACCACACTCAGTCCTTTCCACTCCCGTCTCTGAACTATTAAGCGCACCACGAGACTTGGTCCTTTCGACATGCATCTCCAAATTGTTCAGTTTTGATTCCTCAGGACAATGATTTTTCACTCTTGATTCCGAACTGTTGGACCCTTCATCGCACTTGATCCTTTCCACTTGGCCCTCCGAAGAGTTCAATTCCGATTCCTCGGAATAAGTATTCTCATACGGAATTTCGTGGTTAACTTTATTGTTGCCATCATTCTCAGCTTCGTCTATGGCGTTCAAAGCTTTGCCAATACCTAATAATTCTCTTCTGTCGTGCTCAAAGTGCTTCTTTTTCAATGCATTTAATGTAGCAAGTTTGAAGCTTTTATAGGCAGTCTCTTCTGTGTGTGCCAAAATATTTACCTGAAACAAGCATGCTCCAATCAAAGACTAGAATCACAAATCAATGATAGATATAGCAAAGATCTTCCAGAACGGATTCCATTTTAGACGTCAGAAACCATGGCAACAATCAGACAGAGCAATGATGGATGACTAAAAATTAGAATAGCAACAAACGAGCACTCAAGTTCAACACTGTGCTATGTCCATGCCACGTTTGAGTCACTTCATGGTATCAGCTAGTATCACCTCATGCAAAAAAACATTTCAAGCACAATTTTTTTAACACAAATAATATCACCTTACGCTGTCAAATTTGACTAGCGATAATGTCATAAACAAGAAAAGTACCGCATCAGACATGTTGCAGTGGAGCTTCGTCACAGAATCTCCACGGCCAAGCTCTTGGGGAAACCCATAAGCTATATATGTCTTTGGCCCCATATCTGGCTTCAAACTATTCTTAGGAAGTTTGGCTGCAAGATTCAGAGGCCCATCCGCAAGATGAGTGTACTCCTTAATGGGCAAACAACAGGTGTACTCAGCACCATGTCGTGGCAAACGTTCATGGAACATAGCAGACGGTGGCCAGTCATTTAACTTCAATATCCGAGGCCACCCCATAGAATCAAATTCCCCCTTGGAATATCCTTCAAAGAACTTGTGAACCTTAATATCCACCTGCGTGTTCAGATAAAACCTGTTTTGGTTAATCATGACAGAGAAAACAAAACCAGACTATTGCACACATATAAAAAGCTATGCAGTAAAGTTACAGATGATCAGATTTACAAGCAAGCACAAAGAGCGCACCTCACACCAGTCCAAACAATCAAGCGTCTTCAGCTCCAAGAATGTGTCATAATTTTCATTTTTTATTTGGCGGAAAGCACGCCACATGACCATAGGCTCCCAGCTTAGGCCAGATCCAGTTTCAAGCACATTGCTAACAAGTACGGGTTCAGCCTTCATCCAATGTTGGCGAAAATGCTCAAATCCTTCTTCTGTCAAATCATTAGCATTTGGATAGAACAAGTAATTATCACTTGATCCTTCACGGGATGAAGCCTTCATTAACCTATCGTGTTTCACTTCAGGATCCCCGCTAGAATTACAGCAGGCACATTGACCACTGGAAGAAGGCCTAGCCAAATCAATCTCGAGTCCTTTAACAACACTGTCTGCTCTCTCCACCAGCTTGGAAACCCAATTACCAGAAAACAGAGTTTGGAGTTTTAAAGTGCCAGAACCACAGGCACAAGCAATGGTACCATCACTATTTGCTTTCCAGGAAGTTTTTGGTTTCGGAGCAAGAGGTTCCTCCGAACATACCTCACCAGGCACTATAACATGACGTGCATTTCTACGCGTACTAACATCGCATGCACAACCGTGTAAGTAGTCAAATCCTCTATCAATGTATTTTATATCCACACTTGCCACATTGCCACGAAGATTATCATCACGGATCTCACGGCAGCAGGAAAGGCAAATATTAGATTCACATTCCAAACAATGTCTATGGTAGTCGAAAATAGTAGTCTTGCAGATGTCACTTCAACCAAAGAAAACAGAGAATATTTTATGAAGCCAGCATGAAACAGTAAGGAATTTCAGAGCCAGAATGAGTAGTACCAGTAGATGATGCGCTCGTTTGCAGACCATTCAGCTTTTTCTGCATATAAATCTTCAATTGGCACCCCTAAAATGGTTTTTAAGAGGCACAATAACTGAACAATTTACGAGATGAATCACTCTCACAACACAGTAGAAGAAAGTAACCAAAGAGGAGACAAAAAAAAAAAAAAAAACTCTTTCCCATACTCACCAATTCACTGCAAGCCCTACCTCCAGGGAAGGGCAGGAGTATGGGCGAATGAGAGGGAAGAAAAAGGGTTTGAGCACCTAATCTTAATATAAACAAAGTACCTAGGATTCCTGCATCAATCTTTCTCTCCATTAACTGCTCCTCGTCTATTTGCTTCAAGAAAGGCAAAATTGATTGTAAGATGAATTCAGCATGTCGTCTGCTTTCATCTACAGTAAGTTCCAGTTTCAACAGTGACCGCAGTTCCTGCACAAGATAGCGACACAGTAACAATGGAAATTATATCTCACAGAGCCTTCAAATATGGAATTCAGTAAACAAAATCAAGTGATATGCCGAACAGCGGAAGAGCTTGGACCTCTGCTTGGAGATCCCTACGCAAGCAAGCTTTACAATTGCAGTTGTTACAGCAAAACGGACAGGCAGCTGCAACCTCTTCATGCGTCAACTTAGGGTACCTAGTTTGACAGACACCAGAAACCATAGCCAGCAAAACTATCATCCAATATACTGGATTCAAATCCCTATTGCGGAGGCAAGTCTAGAGAAGAATTCCAGCCCAAGTAATCGGACAGTAGAAATGCAAGTTTCCCTTAAACATCCTAAAGCTACTGCAAAGACTTCAAAGTACGGTGAAGCTAATCTTAACCAGAAAGAGTAACTTAAAACAACAAGCAGAAATAAACTTTTGAGAAACTTTACCAATTTGATAAGCAAGGGAAGCAGTATCTCTTGGTTTTACATTTGCTGCAGCGAACAACACCACCTTTATCATTCCTTTTGCATTGATGGCACATCAGACAGTAGTTCTGGGTAAACTGGTAAGGCAGAGTCATTCACACTCAGTACAGCATCAAGGTTTCCAAGAACAAGCTTGAACGAGAAAGCAGCTAATAGCAGGCAACAAAGGAAAGCCAATCCAGATCATTCGAACCCATACCTCACGATTCCTCGCACAATCTAGATCTCCATACACTTTCTTCCATAGAGGACGAACTTCACGAACTTCCCCAGTTTTAGAGGCCTTTCCAGCCTTCGTATTACTCCTCCCCCGCGGTTTTTTCTTAAATGAAACCTCAATTTCTTCCAACCCCTTCCTCCCCCTTCTCCTATAAACCTTCAAACTACTCTCTTCAACTTCCTCTTTTCCCCCATCCACCGTCTCTTTCACTCCCTCGCCGCCATTCCCACATGCTCCTTCCACGGTCTCGATCCCGTTCTCGCCGCCTTGATCGATTGCCATCGTACCACTCTCCTTCTCCTCATGATTCCGATCTCCATCAGCGCATTCCGCTGTTCCAGAGGCCTTTCTAGCCCTAATGCCGCTCGTCTCCCCTTGTCTAAACTCACCTGGAACCTCATCTTCATCGACAATCAAGTTGGACTCCGCGGAGCGTGCTGCCTGCCTATACCGTCTGCTGGGACCTTCTTTCGCCGGAGTTCCTGTCTCGGAACTCTCTCGCCGTCGATTTCCCACATCGCATTTCGTGCCCGGTTTCGCCATCAACTGTTCTTCTCTTCCTCTCTCGCACTCCTGCTCAGAAGCTTCTTCTACCAGAACCAACCGCTTTCTACTTGTTAACACACAACGGCGACGAAATCGTTCGTTCTGAAGTTATCAGCCGTCTTCTTAACATCATGATTCCTCCTCGCTAAGCTACTCCGTATGAACGGCTTCTACGTACCAGAACCAATCGTTTGTGGTCATGACATTTTACAATCTTCCAGACAATAAGCAATAGGACTGAAAACATAACTTTACTCGCCGGGAGAAACGGTACGATTGCTGGGGCAAAACGAGAGAACTGAAAAGTCAATTCCCATTTTGACTCTTCCACGGTATCATTTGACCGTCTGGACGCTGGAGGACTTGAGAGATAGATAAAAAAATTGACCACTCCCTTTTTTTTTTTTTACAAAAGATAATCATATATTGATAAAAAAATAGACAGTTACATTCTGAAATACAGCCAGACCTGAAAATCAAAGAAAGGGACCACTCCCGCATCCATATCAATAAAATTATACATTCAATTGAATTTGTGTTTTTGTTACCACCTCAATTTTTTGTAATCCTAAGTAATATTATTTTCATCTTACCACATCAATACAATTAACTTGTAATTGCAAAACACTTAAATAACAAACGACCCCTTAATTTAGTTTTAGCATAAACACTTAAATAACAAAATTAACAAATACTTTAATAATAATAAAAAGATGACGTAATTCTCAAAAATAAAAATAAATAAAAAGATGACGTAGCTTGCATTTCATAATTGCATTATATACAAACTTGCAAAGATGTAATTGTCATGTACATCAATGCAATTGCATAATGCAATTGCCAATGAATGCCATGCCATATTGAAATTCCATATGCAATTTCAATTTCAATTTGCTTTTGCAATTGCATTTGTGTTTTTATTGCCAACTCAAAATTTTTGCAATCCACATCACATTTATTGCATTCACCTACATCAATGCAATTAACTCGCAATTGCATATGTAGGCCTAACTTGTTTTTTTAATAAAATAAAAGGTTTGTATGTTTATTATTTTATAATAAAAGAAAAAATGCTTACATGGCAATTGCATATTGAATTGCATAAAATTAGAATGAAAGCTTGCAATATTGCAATTGAGACTTACATCCATGCAATTGCATTTTCATTGACACATCAATTTGCAATTCAACATGATATCTTGATGTGAAAAATTCGGTTGCAATTTTTCAGTTAACCACTAACCGCATAAAAACCGTACTGTTTACCTTAATTGCAAACTGAATAATCGACTTGTATTTGGTCGTGGACTCGTTTTAGGGATATGATATGTTGTTTGGTTTACCATTTAATCCCAACCGAATAATTAATCAAAATAAGCACCCACGCCCAGCCCACTAGACTAAATAACACAACCCGAGCCATCCATTGGCAAGGGGAAAATAAAGGGCTGAGATCAGGTGACTAAGGGGGTCCCCTTAGTCATATGGCTAAGTGAATCTCAGCCACTCAATCTCATTAAAATCCAAGGGCTCCTATTAGTCCAATTTAATGAAGGGTAATATAGTAATCTCATGTTTATTTTTAATTTTTAATTAAAAAAAAAATCTGTGCGCCTCCACTCTCTGTGCGCCGCCGTCGGAAATTTTTGCGTCGCCTCCCCTCTCGGTGCGCCGCCACCGGAGACGAAGAAAGAATGGGCGCGCCATTATTATTCCCCAGAGAGAGGCGCCGCCATTATTCCATTCCCTGGCGCCATTATTATTCCCCCCAGAGAGAGAGAGAGAGAGAGAGAGAGAGCTTTTCCGGCGACGGCGAAGCAATTTTCCGGCGACCAGAGACGGTGGTGGATGGTTTTCCGACAACAGTATTTGAGTTCGTGATGTTTGTAATGTTTATATTACTATTTTGTATACATTGTACTGTTTGTAATGTTAGTAATGTTTGTTTGTCTAGTTTGTATACTTTATGTTATGATTTATACACTTTCTATTCATTGATTTGTATTTGTAACTTTTGTTATTCAAGTTTGTATACTTTTATGTTATGATTTGTATACTTTGTATTCATTTGTTTGTAATACAAGTTTACCAATCTGTATTGTAAGTAGTGATATTCTGTACGTGTAGTATGCTTTGTACTGTTTGTAATGTTTGTTTGTAATGTTTGTAATGTTTGTTTGCGATGTTTGTAATGTTTGTTATTTTGTAATGTTTGTAATGTTTGTTGGTTTATTTTGTACTGTTTGTAATGTTTGTTATTTTTGTCCACATTTTTGTCAACCATGTTTGTAATGTTTTTTGCATCACAAATCAATACATATAAAGTATACAAATTATTAGTACTTACAATACAAAGCGAAACATACTAAGAATACAAGCAAAACATACTAAGAATACAAACTGTCAAAGAAAAACATACTAAGAATACAAACTGTCAAAGAAAAACATACTAAGAGTACAAACTGTCAAAGAAAAACATACAAACCATACTGTCAAAGAAAAACATACTAAGAGTACAAACTGTCAAAGAAAAACATACTAAGAGTACAAACTGTCAAAGAAAAACATACAAACCATACTGACATTTTGTACAAAAATACTAACAATACAAACTAATGTTACAAAACATACAAACTATACAAATCACTGTTCTTCCTTCAGACGACGTATACGGGTCGCCGCCGCCGCCGCCGCTGCCACCGCCGACGCCGCCGTCGACTCTCTCTACAGCCGTCGTTACCTCTCTCTCTCCATCACCGCGCCGCTTCTCTCTCCTCCATCGTCGTCGAAGCTCTCTCCGCCACTGCCTCTCTCTCTCCGCCATCGCCTCTCTCTCTCTCCGCCATCGCCTCTCTCTAGATCTACTTTCTCTCTCTCAAATGCTACCGCCTCCGTCGCGACGCCTTTTCCTCTCTCCATCAACGCCGTCGATATCTTCTTTCTCTCTCCATCGTCGCCGTCGGCGCTTCTCTCACCGTCGCCGCGCATCTCTATCCTCTCTCTCTCTCTCTCTCTCTCTCTCTCTCTGTGAACGTGAAAGAAGGAGACGGTTGGAGAGAAATTTTTTTTTTTTTTTGGTGAAGACGGTTGGAGAGAATTGGAGAGGGGAAAAAAGAAAAAATAAATAAAATGGAAATCAGGATTTAATTATTTTTTTAAATGCCAAAACTACCCCTCTGATTAATTGCTAACCCTTCCTTCATCTGGACCATTAGATCTACCCATTCTAATCTAAGGGCTGAGGGGAGCTTAGCCACTTGACCAAGCACCCCCCCTTAGTCACCAGATCCGGACTCGAAAATAAACATAGCCCTGCCCTAGCTAGTGGTGTGCAATGGAATGGTTCATACTATATCGCATCAGACCAAATCAACGTTTGGACCAAATAACACCAAATTGAATATAACACTATCGATCATTAATTTCATGTATTTTATAAACTGAAAAAAATGGATCGAATTGACATTTGAACAAGACCAACCCCGAAATGCAAAGTGAAGTCAAGCCTACTCTTCAAAGGCCAACCGAAATGCATCAAATCAACTTCAACCTCGATGCCACGTAACCTTCTTTGATCGCACCCAGGTTCCACTGCTTTTCATAATCTAGTCAAACGCAAAATGTTGACAACGTCGACGTTCATGGAGATGGAATCCAGGGTGGCACCAAGCATATCCAGGGGTCATCCGGCTCCAACACGGTTCGAAAGAAAGCCTGAACGGTAAAGTAAAAGACCCTTCAAGAGCTGAACCCAGAACCGATCATCCTCATGAAGAACCTTACTTTTCTTCGCCCTACTTGCAAAAACTGTATTATTGGGAGTTTCCAGCTGCAAGTGTGAAACTAATTAGGTTGTCAACTGATAAAAACAAAATCAAATAGGTTCTTATTGCTGCACTATGCAACGAGAACGGAGAAAACTCACACCAGCTAAGAAAAAGGTCCAAACAAGTGGGGCCATAGAGGTCACGTAACAGCAGTAGCGTGAATTGGAATAACTGAATAGGTGAATGAATAATAAACACGTACGGATACGACATACAGAGCAGGCAGCAAAACTCCTAGTGCAAGCTAAGCTTGTTTTCCTTAATATGCCATTTAAAACACTATCCTAAGCTGCAATTTTCTTTTTCTCCACATATTCTGGGATTCTCTCATATTTCTTTTTCTGACCAGGTACCCATCTGCACTTTTGCCTTCCTACCTTGTAGATTTTCCGACCTTTTTAGCTACAGATCCTGAGGCGTATCCAACATAGGTAATCTAACTACCCCTCCCAACTCTAACTTTCGATTAAGTCCCATGAACAGTAAAAAGGCCAAGTTAGACACAAAGTGCTAAAGGGAAGAAAACATGCACCTCGCCTTAGGCTATATGCTTATCTTTCTAATCTAGTTTAATCTTATACTAGTATTAACTACTAAGCATCCCCTAAAGCCTTCAGATTTGAACTCTGCAACATACAACAGAACCTTTTCTCTCATATACTTTTCCCTTCCTTTTGCTGCACCTTTGTCTTGCTTGCTGAACCTTTCCTCATTTCTCAAGTTTTCTGGTATTCTCTTCCACCTCCCTCCAAATTCTCCTCCTTTTCATCTATTATCTACCATCCAAGGAAGCTCTGATTCTTTTCTCAGTTTTATTGTACATAACATATGCAAGCATGATATTTAAGCTCTTCTTCGCCTCAACGCCATTGGCCCTTCTCCTAACTTCTTCATCATTCTTCTTGTTAACTAACAAGGATATCAGAAACTCACCTCAAAGAAAGCAGCAGGTCTGCCACATGGGTTTTTGGCTTGTTCAATCTTCTGTCATCACTCTGCTGTATCTGCTCCTAATGTCAGGTGGGAGATACTTTCATCCACCACTGGGTTTAAATGTTTCTGGTTCCTGACACCATCCATAATCAAATTTGCATATGTCAGATTATAGGAAATCATAGGTCAGATTTCTTTTCTTTCATTTATTGAAAAGGAAGAGTTAGAACTTATCTTGATTCTTGGTTTTCTCAGGAGCTAGTGTTGCAGAGCCGCCACCCCTAGAAGCAATCGAGGAAACCGACCTACTAGAGAATCAAGAATACCAGCACCAACTGTTCTCATCCTCTTCCCTGTCCACCAGCCATCTAGACTCAACTGGAGGGGATGTTCCTATCGTCAACCCAACAAGTCCAGGAACAGGAGGAGGTGGAGTTGGTGTTCCCATCGTCAACCCAACAAGTCCTGGTACGACGCCATATGGGAATCCCACCAACTCTCCGCCAACAACGCCCTTTGGCAATCCTACAGACTCACCTCCAACACCAACTACGATCCCCACCACAACGCCTCCAGCCCCTCCTATGTCAGGAAACCAGCAACCCACAGCTCCAACAGGATCAGGAGGAGGAGGTGGTGGTGGTGGTGGTGGTGGTGGAGGAGGAGGAGGAGGAGGAGGAGGGGGGCAGTGGTGTATAGCGAGCCCGTCTGCTTCAGAAACTGCATTGCAGGTGGCACTTGATTATGCTTGCGGTTATGGAGGAGCAGATTGCTCGGCGATTCAGTCGGGAGCGAGTTGTTACAACCCAAACACTCTCAGAGATCATGCTTCTTATGCCTTTAATGACTACTACCAGAAGAATCCATCTCCTACCAGCTGCGCTTTTGGTGGAGCTGCACAACTCACTAGCACTGACCCAAGTAAGAACACAATTCTCCTTTTCACAGTATCTCAGTTCAGAATTCATTCCATTCAACAATGTGAATCAAGAGTAGAAGTGTGGCAAATGTCAATGCAAACCAACCAACCCCAACCCAAGCAACCCACTTAAAATCTGTCTGACCCAAACATCAAATCGATCGGATTGGTGGGTAAGTGGGTTGGGCGGATGGGTTTCTGCAAAAGTGCTGTTTAGTACCTAAAAATTTCACCTAAATTATATATTTGCATGAGGTTACATCAAAACTACAATTACTAGCCAAGTATTTTGAGTCTGAAATTTCAATATATAAAACTTTAAAGAGTTTACAAACCGGTCCAAGGTAAAATCTACTTTGCCAATTCAGTCCTGATAATGGAAAATTACTTTGGTACTCTTTTTTTTTTTTTAGCTATCAACGAACTAATCCACCTATCGCCTCAAAATTTGACACCCAAACTGCTAAAACTTCAACCAATAGATAACCGATATTCCCTCCAAACCACATCAAATTTTTCAAGAGAATGCCAGTAAGGCAGTAACACACCAACCTACGAATCCATTTAGCCCCAACCCACCAACCAAACCCATTTGCTACCTCTAATCAATATTCTATGCTATGAATATTCATGATCATGAAGTTTCTGATTTCATCCGTTCCATAAACAAAACCCAGCTTGTTAGCACTTACTTGCATACTTTCTTGGCGAATACTACATATGCTCGAGACTCATGCTTGATTCCCTATTTGCACATGTGAAGGTAACGGGAGCTGTCGCTTTTCATCATCCAAGGGCCAGCCCAGGTAATATTCAATCCATGTGAAAGAGACCTTAGATAATATGCAAAGAAAGAACTCATAAATACCATTTGTATCTGCAGCATGAGTCCTCCAGCGAATCCACCACCAACATTTATGCCCCCAACTACTATGAGTCCGCCAACAACGACGATGCCTGGTACTGGAGGGCCACCAGCAGGGTTCGGAGGGCCACCAGGAGGATTCGGTGGGCCACCAACAACATTCGGTGTAGCAGAGCCAACAGGTCTTCCCAGCACTGCAACCTCCTTTCCATCAAACCTATTGATCCACTTTTCAGTAACTGGCATTCTTGGGTCTTTCATCCTCACAAACCATCTGTGAAAGCTTCAAGAAGTCTCTGAATACTCCCACCTTCAGTTGGCATTTTATTTGCCTGTGATGGTTCATCAAATTTGGAAGCAAAGCAAGGAAGAAACAAGAAAACCAGGATTCATCGCCTGGAAATTATTTATAATGTCTCCAATCTAAGATTGTTAGTCAATGACCGGAAAGAAGGGAGATTATGAGGAAAGCAATAGAACATTGTAGCTACTTATACTTATAGACACAGAGCTCCTAGTGCTAGAATAATAAAATTTATCCAAGCTCGGATGTTTAGAATTGCTTGTCATTAGCTAGACCAATAGTAGATATGTGAAAGACAGCTGAAAAATTCAAAAACATAATCGTTCTGTAGTGCGCTCAAGATACTTGGACATAATGGATTGCCTACACGGGGGACCATGGTGCTAACCAACTTCATACTAACTTACTAAATTAACATAAACATACACATAAATTTGTCATGACTGTAACATCAAGCCATGAAATAATAAATACAGCAAACTGAGATGGAGGGAATAGATAACATACAAAGAAAGCGGGCGCTTATTGTATTGAAGAAAGAACATCCACATGACCTGATTGAAAATATAAAGCTTACTATTTTCTTCCCCATTCATTATATATTCAATTCCTACATATTCAAGAAGCATGTTGCAGAGATCACACCCCGTAACAGGCCAAACAAGATTAGAGAAACGTCTCTTCCCTTGATCATAAACCTTATTTAGGAACTGAGACAAACAAATATAAAATGAACTAGTGATGTATATGGAGTTCAGAGCATGAGTAAGCACGAGGCAACTGCAATACAGATGGTAGCTACAGTGGCCACAATTGAACCTTGCTCAAACGATTTCTGCATGTTGCCTCCTCGTGAAAAATGCTCGAAAGCCAGGTAAGCTGCAATCGCCAAACTAATAATAGCACCTTCTTGTGTTCCTCTGTCATTTTCAAGACGAAACAAACCATACAAAATAAGCTGATGAACAAAGTGAAAGATAAAACAGTTGCTTTTGGTCTGTTGCATTCAACATCCACTCACCTTAGGTTCAGAACCTGGTAAGGAGCTAATATGACCAAGAGCAAAGCCATAAATGGCAACTCTAATTCACCTGCAAAAACAGATAGGACACAGGTAACTCTATAGTTAGAGATATGTTCCCACCTGCAGAAGATTAACCTTGGACAAACTTGCCTAAGCTTATGCACAATCCAAGTTATCTAACAACTGAGCTGAGACATACCGGGAATAAAGAAGAAGAGGCGTACGAGAAGCGCCATAAATGCAGCCCACACACCATATTCACCCCTGCAATCCACCAACAACTGTGAATTTTCATCCTAAACAAAAAGCAACAGACATAATCAATTGGCATGAACACAAAACCTGAACCGTCGAGCTTGCGCAACTTACTTAACCCAAGAGACCACAGCAGCAGGCGCCTGTAACGCAAGGAGGGGAACGAGAAGGCATTTGTTGACAGCCGTACCCTTGGAAAGCATCAGCACTCTGGGTGGGGGAAAACGTCCAATTAGGATTTTCCACGACGCTCAAGCAAAACAGGGCGAGAAACCGAAACAGTACCAAACAGAGAATAGACTCGAGAGAGGAGAGAGGCGATCGAATTCGTACATGGAAGCAATGGTGGAGATCCACTGGAGGTTGCGAGCAGTACTGACCGCCACCGCAGAGCAAACTGTGCTCGTCTTCTTCCTCCCTTCCACCGTCTTGTTCCTCAAAATAGCTTCGTCATTGCTCTTGATTCCGAAACTGCCACACACAAAAAAAACACGACGAGACTCTCAGAAATTCAGACTCAATTTTCACCTCACATAGTAATCAATCAACGGAAACAAAGTTCGCGCGGTGCAATTTCAACCTGAGAGGATTGTAGCTGAGCGAGCTGGAGAAGCGAGGAGTTGTCCAAGACAGGTTGGAGCAGCGCAAACGGCGTTGTTCGAGAGCCAGAAATCGCTGCTGCGACTGGTTCTTCGCGAGAACGTAGCGGTTATGGAGACAGAAGCTCAGCGGCTTCGACGATATGCTGCCGAGACTCATTTCTTCTGGCTTGGGAAGACGGCAAGGCGGGAAACGGATCGGCCGGCGGAGGGAGCGCGCGCGGGAGAGCGAGAAGGAACGATTTTATGGAGACAAAAAGAGGAACGACTGCCTAGCTTAGCTTTTCATATGGAGATTTTGGCAGTAGTAACAGAAACATACATAATGATAATAGTGCTGGTCTGCTGGAGATCTTCTCTGGCGCCGCTTCTGGAGGAATCCATTTCCTTCTGCAACATTTCTCCACACACACAACGGGACGAATACCACGGACTTGGCTCCGTAGCGTTGTTATCGGGCACTTTTTAGAGCAAACGTGTGACTGGTTCAAGTTCCCAAGTCCGATCATCGTAAATAAATAATTACAAAAAGGCCCATCGTGTATCGAATCGACGAATTGAGGGACAAAATTGAGAATATTACCACATTATCGAGATTTTTCCCTACAACTTTTTTTTGGTAAAAGGATTGACGACATTGCGTCTAATTCATATTAATACTAATAGAACGATTATGGACAATGCCTATTACATCATGAAGTAACCATCGTCCCAAACCCGGATCACACACATTGAATCCATGTGTGTCAAAATTAACAAAATGACATCTATTAGCTAAGAAAGTCAGCAGCAAAGTTTGCTTCCCTATACACATGATCTATTCTAACCTCCCAATCGAGGTTCAAAAGGACATATAACTGTCTAGCAAGGATCCCATGGCGATGATCGTCGTCCAAGTAATTCCTGGCAGTAGTAGAATCCAAGTTAAGTTGAACTCTCCTGTGTCCTCTCCCCCAAGCAATCCGCAAGCCCTCAATAACGCCTTTCAACTCAGCACTGGTGATGGAGCATGCTCCAAGATTGCAGATGAAAGCATCACTGCATCTTCCAAGGTGATCTCTTAGGAGCCCCCTGCTACTGCTCTTCCTGATTGTGGATTGACTGATCCATCCCATTTCAGGTGGCTTCCAAGGAATAGCTTCCATATGATGTTGTTGTCCTGGTTCACAGAACACCCTCTCATTCCTTTGTTCTGCTTGTTTGATGGTGTTGAGCCAAGCATCAACTCTACAGCATACACTTTGCTCATTGTAGACTTTACCATCCAAAACTTCCTTATTTCTCTGCTTCCAAAAGTTCCAACAGATGACTCCAAAGTCAATCCCTTTCTCCTCATGTAGCAGATTTGAAAGCACCCACTCATGGAATGGAATAATAGCATTAGTAGCAGCAAGCTTGTGACGAAGCCTATCCCAAACAGCATTTGCTTTCACACAGTTTCGTAGGATATGCTCCACTGTTTCTTCAGTATCTTTGCAGAATTGCAATAAGTACAGTTGCTATTCGTGGCCATCTTCCTTCTTACACGTTCCTTGTTGGTGAAGAGTCTGCCGTGCAGCACAAGCCAGAGAAAATGTTTGACCCTGCTGGGTCCTTTCCATCTCCATAGAGCTTTCCAGGTGCCCTCCTCTGCGCCTTCGTCCTCAGTGTTTGCAATAAGGTTGTAGGCAGACTTCAGTTGGAATCTCCCGTCTTGCTCCAGGCCCCAAATCATCTTGTCCTCCCCCAGTTCGGGTCTCGGTTTCTCCATTCCTGCAATAAGAAGAAGTTTGTCATCAGGGAGAAGGTCTTTAATCTCTTCCAATCCCACTCACCCTCTTGAGTAATCCAGTTGGCCACTAGAGACTCTTTTTCCTCTTCAGTGATATCCTTGGTAAGAAAGTCTTCAAGGAGTAGCCCATGATCCAAGGGTGTCTCCAGAAACTTGTTGATTCACCATTCTGAATGCTCCAGCAGGAAGCTTCTTTCATCAGGGGCATTGCTTTCACAATTCCTTTCCAGAGGCTAGAATGGTTCGTGTTTGTGCCACGATACTCGCTGCTAAACCTGGAGCGTCACTTTGCCCGGCGCCTGCCTGCACACACAAAGAGGAGGGCGTCTGGGCCCGTTAATCCTCCGACGCCCAAGTTAGTTTCTTAGAGAGGGAAGTGTCCCGAAGTAGGAATTTTAGTGAGAGAGTCCAACCTGTGTAAATGCTACCAACTGCCCCTATTTATACTCACTGAACTCGAAGTTGATCTCCTCCACGTCACTGTCCCAATTTAATGCTCTGTACTCTCTTTGTCAGACATCTCAAGCACCTTGTCAGGCTTCTGACGCGTGACAGGCGCCCGCAGGTGATGGACCACCTGACAGCCTGATCTCCTTTGGCCTTTAGTGTTTTGTCCTTATGCGCCCTTCCTCTTGTTTGGGCTTTAAGGTATTTCCCAGAACCCTTTTTGGGCCTTGCCCCCCAATTCCGTTGCATGGGGGCCCAGATCCCTAGTTGATGGGTAATACCCCCAACAGTTCGTCTTCTTCATAGAGATGATGTCTCAATTCCTCTGCTTGTAATACTTCTCCTGTAGCACCTGGACCCAAAGATCATTTTCATTGTTAAGCATTTGTCAAGCCAACTCGATCATATATGCCTTATTCAAACAACGAGCAGACCTAAGGTTTAGCCCTCCTAGCTTCTTAGGCATACAGATCCTCTCTCAAGACATAAGGTGATGCTTTCTCTTCCCATCCATAGATCCCCAGTCAAATCCCCTTATCTTTTTATCAATTTCATCACACACAGAAACAAGAATGAGTGTTGTTTGCATTGCATAAGTGGGAATGACATTAAGCACAAAGGAAGCAAGAGTAACCCTTCCTGCCAAGGAGAGGGTTCTGGCTTTCCAGGAAGACAACTTTTGGTCCATTCTATCCAAAATGTACCTATAGGTGTTCTTGGTTAGCCTGCCATTAGAGGTGGTAATTAGGATCCAAATCCATGAATCCAATCCAATCCATCCACCAAATTATCCACCTAATCCAATCCATTTAAATCCAATCCATTTGATCCAAATCCAATTGGATTGGTCGATTCATGGATCAATTCATGGATCCAAATGACAAATTACGATTTGGTACCTATATTTTTTATATTTTACATTTTGGTGCCTAAAATTTATATTTTTATACGAAAAATATCATTGGAAAATTACATTTTGGTACCTAAAAATTTTCATTATGACATTTTAGTACCAAAACTTTTCAAATTTTACATTTTGGTCCAAGCCTTGGATGTCATTTGGATTCATGGATCAATCCACCAATCCATTTGATCCAATCCATGAATCCACCAATCCATTTGATCCAATCCATGAATCCACCAATCCATTTGATCCATGGATCCACCAATCCAATCCACGAATCCACGAATCCAATCCAATTGCCACCTCTACCTGCCATGGATCACAGGCACACCAAGATAACGTCCAAGGTCAAAGGTTTCTTGGATACCAAGGCGGTTACAGATGTTGTGTATGTCAACAAGTTTAACATTCTTAGAGAAAAAAGGTTCGAGACTTCTCTTTACTAATCATTTCACCCGAGGCGAGACAAAATGATTCTATGCATTTCATAACAGTATTAGCTTGAGACAGACTAGCTTTAGAGAAAAGCACCAAGTTCAGCAAAGAAAAGGTGGGAAAGGGCAGGGCCACTAGGAGACAGACAAACATGTTTCCAATTTTCATCACTAACTTCCTTCATAATGCAATGGCTAAGCCGTTCAATGCACAAAGTAAAGAGGTAAGGGGAAAGAGGACATCTCTGTCTTTGTCCTCTAGAGGGAATGAAGCTTTCTGCTTCTCCACCATTCCACAGAACTTGGAAGGAGGTTGTTGTGACACAGGACATGATTAGCCTGATGCAATCAGCAGGGAGATGAGCAGCAATCAGTGTTTCCTCAAGGAACTTCCAATCAATTCTGTCATAGGCTTTTGCAAGATCGACTTTGAGAAGCATACTTCCTTTCTTCTATGTCTTCCTAGAAATAGAGTGCAGTTTCCTGTAAGATAATAATGTAATCAGTAATGTGACGTTTAGGGACAAAACTTGATTGGTTGGGGTGGACCAGTTTAGGCATCAATCTATTCATATTGTTGGCAATGCTCTTAGCAACCACTTTGACCCACATTACAAAGGGTGATGGGTCTGAAATGGCTCATGGAAGAAGGAGAGTCCACTTTGGGAATGAGGGCAAGAAGAGGTTCATTAATGCTTTGAATGCTGCAGGGGTTCCTGAAACAGTTCATGACAAACGAAGCAAACTCCATGCCCACCATGTTCCAGCATTTTTTGTAGAACAATGCATGAAACTCATCTTTCCCCGGGGCTTTGAGTCCATTCATCTCCATAACCATGGCTTTGATTTTAGCAGTATTGGGCATCTTCCCCACCATCTTAAGCCCAAGATCATCCACCTGAAGGAAAGAAGCAGAAATATGGACTCCAGTGGTGGGGATAGAACTTGTGAACAGGTTAACAAAGTGTCCTTTGGCCATGTCCTGAAGCTGGTCAGGATCCTCAATCCAATTTCCCTCATCATTCTTTAAGTCTGTTGATTCTGTTTCTTTTCCTTCTACTAAGGGTGCAATTATGAAAGTATCGGTGTTGAGATCACCCTTAACCGTCCAATTAACCCTTGCTTTCTGCCTCCATAAAAGCTCTTATGTTATAGGACTTCCTCTAGCTCCTCACGTGTGTTCTTCTCTTTATCCATGGAGCTTCTTGATGGTTTCTATTCGTTTAGTAATTCCAACTATTTGAGAGTCCTGAGAAGCTCTTTCTTTCTCCTGAATATGTTGCCAAAAACCTCTTTATTCCATTTAACCGAGTCATCAAAGAATCCCTTCATGGCTTGCAGTATCTCACAACTCGGTTTTCAGGCCTGCTTCACAAAATAGTACACATGTCTGTTGCCCTATTCACAGATGGCGCAACCGCGATAGTCCGACACTAATTTTATCCATTTTGATCGGGTTGAGTCGAATAAAATAATAATATACCAATGACTGCGCAAGTTTATTTTGCCATATCCCCAAACGCAAATCATACATAATTAGACTAGCAAACCCCAAATAAAAGAAACAAGAGGGAGACAATTTTTATAATTTATTCACCGGGTCCATTCCAAAAGCCAATTATTCTTCATATAATTACATGCTCATGATTATTCTTCCTACAATAGCCCAACCCAAACTCTACTACGAAAATCCTCAAGGAACGACGACCACATGCCGTGGCGACGCCGGCGGCGAGTGATGATTCGGCGGAGCGGGAGACCCCCCATCGCCACCATCCTCTCCATCGTCTCCATCGTCGTCGTCGGCGCGATCGCAGTACCCCTCGAGCACGTCGCTCTCCTCGTCGGTGAAGCCCAACGTCCCCATCAAGTGGGGCCAGCAGTGCCGGCCGATGACGCGGATGGCACGGCAGCACCCTTGGCCGAGGTACGTCTCGCCGTTGAGGAAGAAGAGGATGATCTCCCCCGAGCAAGCCTGCAGCTCCGTCAATGACTCCCAGCAGTTGCTCGTCTCTTCTCCATCTCCTCCCGCCGCCGCCGCCGCGTCCGAGTACTTCAGCCGCGACGCCAGGGAGCTGGATGGTGACGATGACGTGGACGATGCGGGGCCCACCGTGGAGGTGGGGATAGTCGTGAGGTCACGCGCTGCGGCGGCGGTGGGGAATGAGGAAGGGTGGAGGGCCAGGAGGAGAAGGAGGAATGGAGTTACGAGCTTCATCGTATTGCTTTGTTCTGTGGGGATGCGATGGATCATTTGGTAGGGGTTTTTATATAGGGTGGCGGACTGACGGTTTTTAACGTTAGGATTGGAAAGAGATTAAGGAAGCTGTAAAGGGCATGCGGGGATTAAATGTTGATTTTGATTACGGATTTTTAAATGACTAATAGTGATCACGTGGGTGTTTATTACTAAACCAGTAGATTGGGGAAACGGACGAACTTTGATTATCAACTCGTTTGGTTTTCTTCTGTGCCTTCTGCACATCAAAGGTTTTTTTTTTGTGATTTATGATCAAGATACAAGTGTTTTGGCAACTAGGTTGGGAATTGGGATCAACGATCACTAAAACGTGCGGATTAAATCTACAAGTGAATGGTTGTATGGTTGTGTAATATTTTACCTTGGTGTTTTTATCTTCATTCTTGTTGAAGTTCATTGTAACATTCCAAACATTTTTCCGACAAGATATTGTCCGCTTTGAAACTAAACTTTCACAATTTTTGACTTCGGGTGAATATCAAGGTGATTTTCAATAAGATTACTCATATTTGGAGGTTCTTACAAGAACTCGTTTGGTGTTTATTACTAAGGTCATTTTCCCACCTAGAAAAAAAAAACATGAGAGAAATTTGGATATTGAGAGAGAGAACAATTGCGTACCAAAAAGTGAGCCCTACGCGTTATTCACAGGTAGGGGTGTCAGTTTGGGTCGGGTTCGGTTACCCGAACCGAAACCCGAAAAAACACGAAAACCCGTAACCAAAAATCAATGAAACCGAACCCGATAAGGACTTGCGGGTTCCGATTACCCGAAACCCGAAAATTCCTTATCGGGTTCGGTTAAAGCAAAACCGAAAACCGAAAACCCGAACGCCTAAGAATATGGACTGAGTTCTATTCATTGGAGGTTTTTAGCCAGAACCCGAAAAACCGATAAGCAAAACCGAACCCGAACCCGAAACGAACCCGAACCCGAAAAACCAAAAATGTATATAATCAGATCGGTTTCGGGTAAACCCGAAAAACCGAACCCCGAATGGACACCCCTATTCATAGGTAAAGCTCCCATCCCAGAATCACTCATCTGGGGAGTGAGTTGCCAAAAAATATTATTGAGCCTCAAATAACTCAGTTATTTCCTCATTCAATTAATTCATTCATACGACCTTATAACGGTGTTCTCGAGATGGCTTCTGCTATGAAGTTGTGTTATTGATCTCGCCCATTGCTAAATTCAAAGCTTCGTTCTTTCAACAATGGGAGGAAGGGTGAGATTTTATGTATTGGAGATTGAATGGAGAACATCATTTTCACCCTCCCTCTCTCACTCACTTGTCCAATTTAGAACATCATTTTCCTATGGCTGAAAACCCCATCTCCCAGCTTCCCATTGGCAAGAACCTAGGATTCAGATTCCAGTTGGAATCTTGCCACCTGGGCAATTTGATTAACCAAATCACCCAACTCTTGACTCTTACTTACTGCCAGGAGAAGATGAATTCCCCTATCTATCTGACATAATCCACTTGCAAACCAGATCACACAGCTGCTGGGAAGACTGAACAACAACTGTTGGACGTATCACCAAAGGAAGATCTCAGTCTATGTAAGAACCACGGATCTAGGCGTGCGATTTTAGGGATTAACAAATTAGGGATCGGGGATTTAGGTGAGAAAGAAAGGGGAATTTGGGATGAGAGAGAGAGCAGAATCGAATCCTGGGTGAGGAAACCGCCGATGGTGAGAGGGGAAGGAAGGGGTCGGCCAAGGTGAGGTGAGAGAGAGTTGGGAACAATTTCTGTATTATTGCTTGCCCTTAACCTAACATAACATCATATATATATATATAACCCGACTAATTACTGTTTACTACCCGAATAATTAACCTAACCGAATGAACCCTCACAATTCCCCTACCTGACACTATCCGAATAATACGCAAATAACAAATAGACTCTTGACAATTATGTTTCTCACAGTCTACTTCCAGTTGGATCATCATAACAGAGCAATTACAAGTGGAAGACAACTTCACAATCAATGGTTGATAACAAGCCCGATCCATGTGCCCCGAGGAAGGAAAAGGAACCGCCCGATGGAGATATGAGAAGACAGGGTTCCTTCAATCCCCCCGAAACGATTTTACACTTAATTGCAGGCCAAAATAGAATATTACTTCTAAATCGTCATAGTGGAGATAACAATGAGCTATCTTCCTGTTGCTCAGCCATCTTTCTCCCTTTTTCTCTGGTCGTCGTTACTCCGCTTCGCCGGCGACAGGGAGAATTTCTTTTACTTTACATTTCTATATACCATTTGTTAATGTACACTTTCTGTTCCATGCATATTACAATCCTCCCTCTGGGCCCTGATCCGATATTGGCTTTATGCTTTCATTGTGAGGGCGACGAGGCGGTGGCCGGCGCTAGACAAGTGCGGCCATCGCGAGGTAATCCAAAACTCAATCACCCCGGCGGCGTCGACTTGCTCCGTTGTGGCGGAAGTCCGAATCCAAAACAATCCTCCGATTACAACCACGAGAACCAAGGAACTGGTGCAATTTTCGTGATCGGCGGCGGCAGTCTCCGATGACCGGTTTGAAAAGCGGATATCATGCCGCTGAGGATGCCATTATTCTCGTGTGCGGACAGTATCATGATTGACGCAAATTATGGTATATTAATTTATTGTTTCCTTTTGTCTTTAATTGCAATTAATATTAATTTTAGTGCTACGGTACTTTCTCGGTTAATTGTCTTTTCCTTTTCTGGCTCGATATGTTCCTCCGATTATTTATTCTGATGATCTAATAGGAATTGAGTAAAACTCAATCAATGCTTTAGTTTTGGAATCCTATTTACTAATTTATTTATTTAAATTCCTTCCTCTGGTGATGTCTCACTTGTTGACTTACGAGGTAAGTTTTGGAATCCTATTTACTAATTTATCTATTTTCTTAATTATTGCTGATTAGAAGAGTAATCATTATTTGGCTTTGCCTCTCGGGTAGTTACTTCCCCTTTAATTTGCCTTATTATTATCATCATTATTGTGTAGCAATTAATTTTTTTTTTTTTTGGATACCAAGGGAGGCCGAAGCCAAGAAACAGAGGGTTACAGAGGTAGACTAGATAGAGGAGGAGGAGGTCGCCACAACCCGGCGCTCAAAGGTAACACCCATCACATCGTCTTGCAGCAGCGGGATAACCCCTTCAGGCGGGTCAGCTAACTCATGCATACCGTAGGGATAGACGAGACTGTGCTTCGAGAGCCAGTCCGCGACTCTATTCCCTTCACGGTAAGTATGAGACAAGCTAACCAACCAATCTTGCCCGATTTTTCTCCGAATAAGCGTCAACAGGGTCGCATAAGGATGAATAGGATCATGACGTTCCTGAATCAGCTGTATCGCAAGCTGAGAATCCGAAGCTAACTTCACCACCCGGTAACCGAGGTTCCAAGTAAGCTCCAAACCATAGTAAATGGCCCAAAGCTCCGCCAGAACAGCAGTAGCCGTGCCAATACCTGCCACAAAACCTCCCAACCAGTTTCCCAAAGGGCCTCGCACCACTCCACCAGCCCCGGCTGGCCCCGGGTTACCATTAGAGGCCCCATCCGTGTTCACCATAACCCAACCTTCCGCAGGAGGCGCCCAACCGATATCCGCCATAACCCGCTCCGTCACCTGCTTCTTGGGGTTAGAGAAAGGGTCAGGGGCATGCCAGGAATCATTCCAGAGCTTGCTCTTAATCATAATGGAGTGACAGAGCGAGGGTGCTGTCATTGCAGCACTAGCCCCCTTGAACGCCATAGTGGTGCGATTTTTCCATAATAACCAGCATGCCATACTGAAAAAACCAGGCCAATTAATACCTGAGCTCGTTGACTCCTTGCTCAAGAGATTTCTGCGGAACCAAACCTCGTGAGTGGTGCTGAAGAACTCGTGCTGCTTCTGCTGCGGCACTGCTCTGGACCAGAAGAAAAGGGCTGGGGTGCAATCCCTCAGAATATGAATCACCGTTTCAGGCTGCCCTGTGCATCGCACACACATAGGTGAATCTGCTGCTTTCCTCTGAACCCGCAGAACATTGGTTGCTATCTTGCCCTGAATGGCCAACCAGATAAAGCACCTAATCCTCTCCGGCACTGGCAAACTCCAGATCGCCTTCCAGATCTCATCCCTCGGCTGCATGTCAGGAGCCGACAGCAACTCATAGGCTGCCTTGGTAGAGAACTTCCCATCTGCAGTCGCCGACCAGAATAAAGTATCCTCCTCTTGGGCGAGAGTGTCCACCGCTGTACTGGTAATCTTGTTGCAAATATCCTGAGGGAGTCGCCCGCTAAAAAGGTCAGTGCGCCAGCTCCCATCCTCGCGAACAAGCTCCGCCACTGTCGCTTGCTCCCAAGCTTCCGGAATCTCACTGGTCACAACCTCTTTCAGGGGGACCTGCAAAATCCACGGATCAAGCCAAAATTTAGTCTTTTTTCCACTTATAATATTCCACGCGCATCCTTTCTTAAGGAGCTCGGCAGTTTTGGAAAAACTGCTCCAGGTGAAGGAACTTCCCTGAACTTTCCGCAAGATGTCAAGACCCGCTCTATCCCCCCATATTTGGAGCGAAGCAGCTGCTGCCACAGACTCCCTTCATTTCGCATCAGTCTCCATCCTGATTTAATCAGCATGGCCAAATTTGCCTGACGGGTAGGCCGTATGCCCACACCTCCTTTGGCCTTAGGTCTCGTCATGTTCTCCCAGGCCACCAGGTGAAATTTGGATCGATTCTCCTCCTCTCCCCAGATGAAATCCCTGCTGATCTTATCAATGTTCCTGCATACACCACTTGGGATCAACTCAGTATGCATAGTATAAACTGGGAGAGAGGCAATTACTGATTTCGCCACTGTTAGCCGCGCTGCAAAAGAGAGGCGCTTCGCCTTCCAGGGAGCCATCTTCTTCTGAATACGGAGAAGGAGAGACTGATATCTTCCTTTAGTGATCCTCTCTTGGATTGCCTGGATCCCGAGATATCTCCCCAACGATGCTTTCAGTGGAATTCCCGCACATTGGCTCAGGTACTCTGCTTTGTGCCGGGCGACGTTCGGGGAAACGTACACAATGGACTTATTATAATTGACCTGTTGCCCGGAACTAAAGCAGAAATCCGCCAAGCACTTCTTGATTACCCGGATTTGTCTACGCTCCGCTTCTGCAAAAAGAAGTAGATCATCAGCAAAAAAAAAAAGATGAGTAAGAGGTGGACCGGAGCTGGTAAGCCGAATAGGTTTCCACTCCCCCTCCCTAACCGCCTCATCGATTTTATGAGAGAGACGCTCCATACATAAAACAAAAAGATAGGGGGATAGGGGGTCTCCCTGTCTGATGCCTCGGGATGGGGTGATCGGTTGAGAGAGCTCTCCATTCCACCTAATCCTCATCGTATTATCCTCATCGTATTTGGCTTTGCCTCTCGGGTAGTTACTTCCCCATTAATTAATCGTCCATATTTAGTTGTCTCATTTCCTCTTCTCTTAATGTTTGATAGAAATTTTATTTCATTATATTTAGTAATTCCCTTTTAAGAATATTGTATATTGGATAATTCAGATTCATCTACAAATGGAGATCTATTGTACTTCATTTTATGAATTATACAATTGATATTTTACATTCGGTTATGTCGTCTATGCCTAAAGGGCACTACTTAATCTCTTGAGATAGAGATCTCTAGCATCACAGTGGATGCCTTTATGGGGTTAGATATAACCTACCATAGCAAAAGTATATTGATTCGGTTTGATTGAGCCACAAAGAATCTTCACGGATGTGCAAACTGACTTTGCCAGATTTTCAGGTGATGGAACTATCTTTTGGTAAAATTTATTATGCTATTACTATGAGAAAGGGTCTTACTCATAATGTTTGGTTGTTACCTCTCGAGGATATTCTCAACCGGTCATCAGGATGCTACATCGAGGAGGTCTTCCCATTCTAAAGTCGGAGATATTTTAAGGGAAGTTCTTTCTCTCTTCTCAACTCCCTGTGTCAGTTTCGCGTCTTTGCTCTTCCGAGCTTTCATAGAGCTGCCCACCTCGTGGCAAAAAAGACTCTTTTATCGGGAGTCCGGTCGCATACGGACTACCGTTCTTTATTATTTTCAGTTTTATATTTTTGTTGTTCGACCATGCCCTGGGGCTTATCTTGGATAAAAAAAAAATGGTTGATAACAAGCCGACTGCACAGCGCAACATTCATGCAAAATCCGAAACGAACATTTATCGTACTGAAAGAACAAAACAGCCTTAAGAAGCATACGACAATTGCTAAAACACAATGTATCTACAAAATCGTCGAAAACGAGTCTGTTCGGGGTAAAAGACTGGACAAACTAGTAAAATTCGTACAGCAACCGAGCAACATCGCCCAGGCTGCTGGATGTTCTCACTCTTTTTAACTACTACTGCTACATCATTGAACAGTGGAATATACAGGTCAGGTCACAACTCGACTAGAACAAAAGCGACCGTATGGCATTATGGGAAAAATTATTACAAATGTGTATTGAAACCCCCTGTGAAAAATGGTCCTGTAGAACAGAACATGCTATAGAATACCCTGACGCAATTAAACGAGAAATTCAAGAAAAAAGAGACATGTTAGGCGAAACAATCTGTTGATCCAAAAAACAGATAATATTTGTACAGACAGACAAAGTTGAGATCTTTAACAAAAAAGGGCACTGGTAAAACAAATATGAAACACTGCGTACCTACACATAAAGCCATTCCTCACAACACCTGCAGAGAAGGCACCATTACGCAGCCACAGTGTAAAAAAGGAAAGGGGGGAAAGACGCTATTTCAGTAATAATTTCATCACTAGCAAGTTCTTAGAATCCCCCCATTTCAAAAGCAAATCATAGACTCCAAACTCCTTTGTTCAGCAAACACCTTTAGCATAAATGTTCTAGAAGACGTCAAAATTCTATGTTTTGAGCAATTTATCATCCATGTTAAGAAAGCTAACTCATATTCCAAATGTAGATGCAAATGGCAGCAAGACAAAGCACCCCGACCATCTTAACAGTTTTTAGGTTCATGAACTACTACACTCAACCGGGTTATTGATTGCTGCTATACATCCCCATAGAGGGAATCATGCTAATACATCCCCATAGAGGGAATCATGCTATTTTGCTAGCATTGAAGTTCTAAGGCTTAACTGGCTTCAATGTAAATCAACTATCATACAACTAAAAAGAAGCAACGGAGACCTCGATATAGAATTGTAGGCCACCACCAACGAAGAGAGCGCAAAGTAGGAAACTTTTCTTTGACGTGAATGTTCACCTTCTCTATAAATTGAAACTTCAACTGTACAACAAAACAGGATACTCCCTACGACTGCCTTTTGAAGAACTAGACGATGATTACCTGAAAGGACCTGTTGGCCCAAAGAAAGAGAAGAAACAAGCAAGGCTGGATCGACAACAAAACAAACTCTATCTTATTCTATAGTTACTTATTTGAACATACTAGAAAGAGAAGAGATTGACCATCTAATATTAGAGACCCAATTTGACGGAAAGAAGAGAAACTAAGGGTAATGCACAATATCCAAGCTATTAAGGAAAGATAACTCTTATTCCTTGTTACCGAATCTCCTTGCAATTATTGGGCGGACATCATCAGCATCAGCCAAGGTCTCTAAGAAGGGCAGTAATGATAGTAAAGCACGATCTGAAGAATCACTAAACCAACTCTTAATAGGAATCCCATTATTTACTTGCAACCTGAAAACCTGAAATCAATCAAGGAAAGCAACACTTAATCAGGATTGGAATACAATGGTAAGCTTGTTTTTTTTTTTATGTCTTTAAGTATACTTCTTATGGGGAGAAGCAGAAACGCATGTCTTGATTTTCTGTGCACATCCAAGTCACTCGATTCTATTTATTAATGTTATCCATCAGTTATGTAAACAATATCCTCTTATGCTGCTTCCCAAGTGTTTTAAGCATCTCAAATCTGCTTTTCAGGAGCTTAGCATGTCAAAGCTAAGCTACAAGTACATAGACAGTAGAGCAATTTATCGTGCAAAAGTTTAGATATATGACCAGACTTATATGCAGAGTGACTTGATGATATGTAAAATAAGAACTATCTAGTATGTATGGTCACCGTACCTGTGGAGAATTATCAATTATGGCAATTTTGGCAAGATCAACACCTAACACTGTCAAATCTTTCGTATAGGTGCCATCTGAAAATATGCATGACTCCCGATAAATCCGGCGAGATATGAGTTTCTTTTCAGCATCCAGTATGTCCAAAAGTTGTTCTGCATATATGCTTTGGCTTGCAGTAAAGACGACAATCTCAAACATCTCAGCAACTGTCTCCAGGAACGTATGTAGGTGAGGCCTCTTCTTCACAAATACAGTGTGCTCTTTCATGTTGAAGAACACGGTGAAAGTGAAGTCGGCATCCACACAATGTTCCAATGTAGAGTGAACAAGTGTTTCTGGTCACAAAAACAGAATTTCAGCACTTACTACTCCTGAGATATTTAATTGCAGAAACTGTTCTACCTGAGATATGCAAAAACGAAAACCCCCAGCTATAGTAAAGTGCATAAATGTTTTACCATCCAAGTCGAGTACTAATGTTATTGACTTCCTCCTTTGAGTATCTTTCGGGAACATGCTTGTTTGAAAATTTGATACAACTTCTGATAATTCAGGTAGAGTTCTGATAAAGAACTGGGGATCAAAATCATCTGCCTGATCAGAGTTGGCGATAGGATCACATTCCTGGTTATAGGTTCTTATCTGGCTGATAGCTGTATATAAGTCAGCATCATCAGGACCACCTTCAATGGCCTCTTCACCTGATTTCAGATCATTGGAGTTTGTCAATTTGGCTGTATCCTCAAGAAAAGGGAGTATCAAGCACTCCTGAGCCATATCAAACAACATACTTGGCTCAGCACATCTGTAATCAGGAAAAGCTTCACTCTCATAGAGATGACTATCTATTGCATTCCCATCATATGGTAGGCTAGAGATAATCATTTCGGAGATAGAGAAATCTGAGATGTTGCAGCTCTGATAATCAGATAATCTTATATGACTATCCCTTCCATCAATTCCCAACCCTGAAAAGATAAGATTACTTTTGCCTCCTGCCAAATGTATTACAAGATAGTCAATTAGCATAAAGTAGGACTTCGTACAAAGAATTAAGTGGCTCATTGTCCTTCATAGATTCGGGCATTAACTTCAAAGCATCTAATCAAGTCAGAAACAGACAATAGACTTCATGCAAAAGGGTGCAACAGATATCATGTGCAACACTTGTGAGTGCTCCAGCTAGCAACTAGAAGTTGTATGTTTAAGTAATGTAATGTTTTAGCATACCTGGATTCTCGTCTATGTTGGGCATGTTGTATATACAAATGGGTTCCAAAGCCGGGGAAAAAATGGTTTCCAAGTCAGCTGTGCAGCTATGTGTAGAATCCTACAGTTCAGCACATTACAAGAAATTAGTAACTAAAGCAATCCATCTCAGAAACAAAAGGAAAGGGCCACTAACATGTTCCAGAAACTGATTGGGATACGAGAACATCGAAAACAACACTATCTGAAGCAGTTAAAACAAGTACCTGGCCAGCATGGCAGAATTTAAAGTTTTAAACGCATAATAACTTGCTGTGCAAAAATCCGTACCAATAATTCTATATTAGCCTACAAAGAAAAGTTGACAGTTATCTTCAAACCCTAGTCCAAACAAAGAGCTAAAGAGTGAACCATGCAGCTGCACAACTAGCCTGATTAGGTAAGATGAAATACTACTAGAAATATTATCAATTTCAGACATGGGAGACACGTAAAAAACACACAACACAATACACATCAACATAAGGTTGAAAACGCACTCAAACCATATAAAGTAACTTGCACCCCAAAATGTGAACAGCACAATAGCTAATAGATGACACGGACAAGGGAATAAAAAACATTCTATGACAAGTACCATGCAGAAGTATTACCATCTTCACAATGGTTCCAGAATCTATACTAGAATCATATGTCTGAAAATGGGAGTTCCCTTGATGTGACAGTTTTTGCTGATCAGGGACTTCAACACCATCGGTTTCCGGAGAATGCATCTCCTCACTCGATGAAACTGGAGAAGAAGAAAAAAAATAACACAACTCAGCCACACAGGTATAAAAAAAAGTCCATCAGTATCACATATGGAGCATTAGTAAGAAATAAGGCCTACCAAACATCTAAAGCAAATTCCCCAAAATAATTGGAACTTGAAGACTATTATTTTGTGGCTCAGACCGCACTGAGGGAATAACACATTGTTAGTTTGATGCTCATATCTTTGAACCATAAAAAGACAAGCTGTATGGACAAGTAAAACATAACCTAGCTGCGAGGCTAAGCCATCCCAAAGAACAGTTTTGGAGCTAATTCAGCAAACATGTTATAGCTATGAACCAAGGATGACAAAACCTAGTGTTCTTCAAGAATGGATAATACTCACCGCAATCATCTTGACATTTCTGAATACAAAGATCAGCCTCTGATAAAGGAGAAACCGTGTGGACATTAGCGCATGATTTCTTGCATATAACACTGGACGTCTGACACACACCAAGACTTCTTTCCCCTAAAGAGCCCCCACTTAGGTTTGTCTTCATTTTCAATGATGGCATTTGATCTGTTCTGATGATATTTGCCACAGTCTTAGATTTGACACATCAATTTGAAAGCAACGTCTCCCCTTTAGCAATCAAAGCACCTGCAGAGACTATCATATCCCAGAGAGAGAAATTATCAGAGGGGGCAACATATCAAACATCTAAGCACAATTCAATTAGCAAATACGGTGCTCCAATGAAATCCTCCAAGTATGTCAAGGACTTTTCATTAGCAAGATCACGGAGAAATCAAGTGGACTCCAAATAAAACAAGTCAAATAAAAAGAGCATGATCCAACCTGGTCTACTTTGTTAACACGCCAAACAAGGAACTGGTAATGATATGCTTTGCAGCAGAAACCAAGAGAGATTTACTGTCAACTGAAACAAAACCAGACCTCTAATTGTCCAGCTTATTACAAAGTCAATCAACTCAGAAAGACTATTTCTTGCATGAAATTGAGAACACAGCAGCTACACAATTCGGTCAACATGTACTCTTTCCCTCTGAAATACAATGGAATCACAAGAACAAACAGGTAGGCAATGAAAAGTCTTCCTATTTACCTACAGAAGAGCAATATCCAATGATCTTTGAAGACAATTACCATTTTAACAGAACAGGATCGAAATGAAGGCACAAGAGATAGAGAGAGGAAACAAAAGATTCATATCTAAGCCAATCGTTAACCAAAAAAACAGAAACCCAGCTCCTCAAATGAACAGAAAAAAGGAACAAGTCAACAGTTCCCAGGCTGTCAAATTCAGAGCCCCACAATTAGAAGACTCAAGAAAGGCAACCCAATTACAACTAAGAACTAAACAGCCCTCCGGAACCCAGAAAGAAAGCCTAATCCCATCCAAAACCCCTCAATCTAGAAAACCCTAGACAACAAAAGGGCTACTGAAATGACAGTTAAACAGTTCCAACCATGAAAACGGAAACAGGGAGCCGTAACAGAAAGCTCTCAACGGGTAAGAACAAAAGGGAAACAGAATCGAGATCAACAGTAACAGTAGAAGAAGATGCAATTCCAATAAGGGGGAAAAGATTCGATTTTTCCAACAAGAATCCATATGGGTAGGCCGCAGTACCTTGTGAAGCCTTGAGGACTAAAAGGGAGAGCTTCCCCCTCTCTCCTTCCCTCCCTCTCTCTCTCTACAGAATGAAAGTTGTCTGTGTGTTATTCTGGGGTTTTTCCCCTTCTCTCTATCTAAGCTGTCTATATAAAAACAAAAGAATCAAAAAAGACTTCGGTTTTCATTCCATTCCTTACAATTTCTTCTTCTTCTCCCCCTCTCTCTTAACTTCCACGAACGGTCATACAGAGGCAAAGTCGGCCTTCCGGCGGAGGCAGCGGATGGCTAGGATTCAATGATTATTTACCTGTAGGAACTTGCCACGTGGATTCTGAACCAGCTCAGCCTGACGCGTTGACACTTGACACGTGCTCTCGAGGATGTAAAATTGACAAATTGTAAGAGCATCTCCATCAATGCAATTGTAAACTCAATTGCATTTGTTATTTTTTTTGCCAACTCAAAAATTTTGCAATCCATTTCATTTTACTTTTATTATACCTACATCAATGCAATTCATTTGCAATTGCATATGTGATTTAATTCCACATATAAAGGTAAAAAAAGAAAAAAAAAATTAAAAGAAGAAGAAAACAATCGGTCCTTTCCATAAAAATAGCCATGTTGGCTTTCACTTCCACTTGCATTATATGCAAGATTGCAAAAGTGCAATTGAGGCCTACAGCAATGCAATTACAGTTGCAAGCATTCCACGTCACTTTGCAATTGCAAAATGTGACCGATGGAGATGCTCTAAATAGCCAGCAGCGGAGAGGAGCGTGAGTTTACACTCTCGGTCTCGACCGGCACATAATTCAAGCAGCTAGGCTTCTTTACATAATTGGAATTGCAATTAGAAGAATTGCATTATAACATGACATTCATAGATGACAATTATCTTTACAAGCTTGCAGATAATATTGAATTTTAAAAAAAGACATGATTGCCATTTTTTAAAATTGTCAGAGCAACACATGTGTAGAACACAAATATCATCAAACATATGCATATCAAATCAGAAAAACCATACAAGAAAGATGATTAATCTCGCCCCAAAATACATAAAGTTAATCAAAAGTTCACCCCACCATTGGCGGAGTTAGGTGAGAGGATGTGGGGTCCATGGACTCCACTTGGAAAATGAATATAAATTAAAATTGTTGATTTTTAAGGTGTAGTTAGTAAATTTAGAACCACTGACCCCCTCTTCCCAAGACAATAATTTTACTATTGAGACAAACTTTGTATTTCATTTTGTTTGGACCCCACAAAATTATGTCTCTAGCTACGCCAATGCACCCCACCACAACTTTCATAAAACATACCTAAAAATTCAAAGTCGGCCACAAGTGTTATGAAGCATATAAAAAACTCATAAATCTGACCACAAGTATCATTCAAACTAGAAACACGACAAACCACGCCACATACACACATAAAATAGACTAATAAAGCAGACCAAACACATGTATTTATCTATCCATGCATGAGGTCGATCAGCTGCTACTCCTTCAACACAAAAAAAAGCATCATTCTCATACTAGTGATAACGAATATCTGGTCTATTTCCCCTAACTATGAAAAGGGTAGTTTTGCTAATGATTCTTTGTTTGCAGAACGATTGGCAGCCTTAATAGTCGAGGCACTCTACCTATGAGTGGTGTCCCTGCTTTTCTTCTTTCGCATGGATCAAGGCAGACCTTACAAGCGATTATTGGCAATATCAAAAAGGGGGTTATCAATTTTCAGATTTGGCGCTCTCAACTAAGCATATGTTGATTCAAAAAGTTGACCACACTGGCTGTTTAGTCGATCTTTCATGTGCAACCGCAAGATTCGTTATCTTTATAGCATGCTCTATGACGTCGTCTCGAGGTATACAACTATCTCTAGTCTTTACCGATTGGCCTTTCCAATATGTGGCCAAATAATTTATGTCCGAACATTGAACTTTTTATCATCAGGTCTACCGCATCGTATAAACAATTAATAATTTGTTGTCATCCAAACAATCATTTTAAGGAAGAGGTCTACCATTTTCCCAATTCATGGTAACTTGAAAGTCACCTTAATCATATCCTATATTTTAATCCCCCAATAATATATAGTACATTTTAGTGTACTTTTTTCCATTTTAAATTTCCTGCAACGAGAGTGGAAGTAGGAAGGACATTTTTGTTTTTACAATTAATTATTTATCTCACATAAAAAATATCAACATAAGGATTTGCACCCGTGTCTCTTCAAACAAAGACAACAATCGCAACCATTTACACTGAACAAATTTGTTTTGTCTTTTTTAATACAAAATATACACGAAAGTTCAACTCTCTGAAAATCGCAGAACTTTCCATCATGATTAGCAAGCCCACTAAGTATACCGTATATATTTTTATGGTGCTTGATACTTCAATTTTCATTGTAGAGTTTCATGCACTTTCTCAATTTTAAAATTCTTTCTCTCTCCTTAATTTTTGCTATAGGTAAATTGGTAATTGGCTTACATGGAAAAAAATTAATTTTGTCACTACATGTTGTGTCCTTGCATTTTTCAATTTAAATTTTGTGGTTTTTATCTTTGTTCTTATCTCTTTCTAACTTCCTCGAAAATTTCCTCCATCGTACAATAGTTTGCACCCCTTTCACTTCCCAGTACAAGACCGCCTTTGAAAATCAATCATCTGGTATCTCTTGGCACGTCGGTTTTATTGTTGAAAATTTAAGTTGGGCATGTAAAAGAGTTTAATAAATAATGGAGTTGCAGAAGGAGGATTACAAATTGAATTTTTGGTTGAAACATATGTCTCTTGAGATAAAAATTTGGTTATACAACGAAGAGTGGTGGCTATTGGATCTTTATATTTATGGTCTTTACATGTATCGCAACCTATTTCTATCTTAAAACGAGGAATCATAGATTGATTTATTGAAGTAGGTCGATTCTTTATTCAACCTACTGGAACTGATAGACAAGGAGTGTCTAATTTTGTGCATTATTACTTTGATTAAGTCTATTAGTATATTGGAGATAACCCTAATTTTGTCGTTTGCTCTAAAGTTTTGATGATCCCCTCTTAGCTGAGTTGTTAGTATATAGTTGACTTGAATCAACAACTCTCCATTTTTTTTATTAGTGGCATATTGTTCATAAAAGGAGCTCATTAAACCCTTATGTAGGATTGTGAGGTTTAAGATTTAGTTTCAAACTATCTATGGATCATGTGGAATTTCAATGAGCTTTTATACCCTCTTTCTTGACAATCAACCCAATAGCATTTTAATGAGGGCTTAATTATCATTATGAAAATGAAACTAGTGATACATTTTATATTTTATATTCTTAAATGATGATGGTATTTCTCCGAATGTTAGACCTATATATTCTTTCTTTATGTATCATCTCGATCGAAATATTGTCAATAAAATTAAACTGGTTGATTAGCTTAAACGTACCATAAAAATATAAATAATCAAATATGAATATTCCGGCCAATGGGTGGAGTTATAAGCTATTCCTAATAGAAACCAAACAGTAAGTGCATAACTCAAAAATTCAAAATCCATCTCCACGTTTTGTTGATTGAGGCTATCAGGCTAAGCAGTATATCAATTATGCGAGCTTTTTTGTCTTTTGATGTCAAATGAAAATTCAAAATGCTTGTTGATTAGCTAGCTTTGCTCTTGGAGATTATCCGGGTGGTTTTTGTTTATATTAATTATCTAACATTGTATTTAAACTATTTTCAAAATTTTCAGGTTTTATGTCCATTTAATTATTTATAATCATAAACTCTGTATTTTTATAAAATAAATGATGTGTTCACAAGGCGGGCTTCTAGCTAGTGTATATCATCTTACGAGAATAGAGTATGATATAGATCACCATAAGAAGTATGTATAAAAGTATTCAAGGAAGAAGCTTGGAATTTGCTGATTTTCAAGAAAGAAAATCTTACGATATGTTTGGAATCTCTTATAATAAGCATCCACGTATGAAATGTAACTTGAAAGCTCAAAGCTGGATATGGTGGCATTTACACAAGGAATATGTTGTCCCCAATTTTTATGAATTACAAGATGCTCAACCGTAAGAAACTAATTTTTAGTACTAGATTCATTGAGTTTAACTAAATTTATCTAATATCGGTTTTATTTATGGAGTGAAAAAAATTATGGATCAGAAGTTAAGTCTTAGACATGCATGATGATACGATAATACCAATTATCTTGTGATTAATACCATCAATGGACTTTATCATAGTAGAAATATGATTAGTATCACCAAATAAATTTTTGTCTCAATGATTAAATCATTATAGTATAGGCTTTTGAGTTTGAATTCAACTAATGATAATTTAGTTGTTTGATTATGAACTGCACTAAAACATAAAAGATAAAAAATAATAAAACGATATGAAAATAAGACTGAAATCAAGTTGCCCCCAAGTTTTATGAACTATAAGATGGTCAACAGTAAGAAACTAATTTTAAGTACTAGATTCATTGAGTTTAACTCAATTTTATTATGAAGTGAAAAAAATTATGGATCAGAAGATAAGTGTTAAACATGTATGATGATACGACAGTACCAATTATCTTGTGATTAATACCATCAATGGAGGCAGTGGTGGCGAGGCGGAGGGGGTGGTGGTTGGAGGGTTGTTTGAAGGGTTGCGGCAGGGATAGATTGGTGGGATGAGGAGTAAAAAGAAAAAAAGATTTTTTTTTTACTTTTTAATGTAAAAATAATCCACATCACTTGTTGACTGTTGAAAACTAACATTCAACTTTAACAAAGTTAACGAAGACGAAAGTTCGTGCCAGGATTGTCATATTGAATAGTTGAGTACACAAATGACACTTTTTGGATAGTAGGGGTCTTCTAGTGAAATTAGCCCAAAATAATAAAACGATATGAAAATAAAAATTAAACGAATACTTAGTAATTGAGAAAAATTGGAATCAAGAAGCTCAAATTGATAAAAAGGCTTATTGTATTCAATTGATGAAGGAACACGATACAAGTAATTAAAAAACAAATCAATCTTAATCACTCATAATACTCAAATTGTTAAACAAAA